CAAATCAGTTTAAATCATTTGAATCATCCACTATCGATAAATTGAAGAAATAAATAGAGATATATATCTATTATAAATAGAAATATAAATTTATTCAGAAAAATATTGATAATGAAATAATCATTATAATAATGAAAGCACAAAAATGAGATCACGCTTCTTTTTTTCTCACTTTCTGTCGTGGCTGACAATTAAATAATTATCAGCGTACTCTCTTATCCCCTATTGATTGTAATACGGATACAGAAAAAAAGAGAGAAAAAAAAATTTAAAAAATGAGAAATTATTAATATTTTTTTGCGAAAATTATCAAAAACTTTTGCGATTTTATATAATTAATTATAAAATAAAAAATTGATTTTTAAAATTCTTTAACTATTAACATGGTTTTCTTTTTAAATAGATAACTGACCATACACTAGCACTCAAATGAACTTTGCTTTATTTTTTTTTCTACTCTCAACTTGTTTCTGTGACTCATTTGTATAGACGTTTTGACCATGACCTTCGTGACGTTTTCGTGAATCAAGATCATCGAAAGTACGCATACATACACACCACGCGGTTTGATATGCTCCGCGGAAGCTGTTTTGACATTAACAAATAGGAAGAGTAGAAATGTTTCTTAAATAGCCTTTTTAACAATGTCAACAGTTCTGTATACATTGTATTTAAAGAAAAAGTTAGTGAAAATTTTTTGTCATTGACAATAGTAATATTCTTTTACTGATTACTTTGTAGTTTTTATCAATATTAATTTGAATTTTGATTACTATTAATCATAGTAGTAATTAGTATATTAATTATACTAATTATTTGTTACCATATTAATCAGAATATTAATTAGTATATTAATTAGAATATTAATTACTATAAGTGACATAATATAAATTACTATATATTAATCGCAATATTAATTAATATATTAATTAGAACGTTAATCACAAAAATAATCGCAATATTTATGATAATCCACATTAATTCGAATATTAATTATAACATTAAATAGAATGTTAATTACAATATTAATTAATTAAAATACTAATTAGAATATTAATTCGAATATTCATACTTATCATACTTATCACAATATTAATTAGATTATTAATTGGAATATTAATCACAATATTAATGAATATATTAATTACAATATTAATTACGATATTAATTATAATATTTATTAGGATATTAATTATAATATTAATTAGGACATTAATTACAAGTTTCTAAATTTGAATTAGTAAAAATGTTTACTAATTTAAATTAATGACTGCCTTTTTACTTATGAATTAATAAATTTTACTAATAAATAGAAATTACAATTTATTAGTAAAATTTAGTAATTCAAAGGCAAAAAGTCAGTCACTAATTCAAATTAGTAATTTAATCATTCAAATTTAGGGAAAATATTAATCACAATATATGACAATCCACATTAATTAGAATGTTAATTATAATATTAATCACATTAAATTAATTGCAACATTAATCAATAACAATTTTTTATTTTTTATTAAGTGTCAAATTCGTAATTAATATTTCTATTAACATTTATTAGTTACCTTATTTCCAAAATTATCATTAATTCAATTTGAATCATCATAATATGGTAGTAAAAATTATATAATTAATGCAAATTTTAATTATTTCAATTAATAATTTCGCTATTCTAAAGATACTTTTCGCTGTTACAGGTGAAGTTTCGTTTCCGTGTTCATTTAGTTATTTACTTAGTTATTTATTTAATTATTTAGTTATTTATTTAATTGTCCATTTATTTATTTAATTATTTGTTTATTTATTTAGTTATTTGTTTATTTAGTTAGTTATTTGTTTAGTTATTAATTTAATTATTTAATTAGTTGTTCATTTAATTGTTTATTTAGTTTTTTATTTAGTTATTCAGTTTATTTACTTATTTATTTAATTGTTTATTTAGTCATTTATTTACTCATTTATTTAATTGTTTATTTATTTATAAAAATACCGGAAAAAACTTATGATAATTAATTGACAGATTGGTGGTTCTGATCGCAAAATTTTGATTGAAATAATTTGTGTCAGGGTTAAAAGAAATCTGTTATTATTCCTCGCTACGCTTTTGAAGACGATTAGAATGTAGAATATTTTGTTGAAATTAAATTGCTTTGACTCACCGGTTCTGCTATGTGGTCCCATTTTTCAGCGAGATAGTTCCAATCCTCACTTTCCATTATTGTATAATTATTGATAAATGTTTTCTTTTTTTTTTAATATCCTTTCTTTCTTGAAGAGGAAAAAACAATATTTGCAATGAATTTGGAAAAAAAAGTTATCTTGGACACCTTCTCGTTGATGACTTCTATTGCGAATTACTAAAGACACTTTGCTTACATCACAGAACCGACAGCCAATCCTAACTTTACTGGCTAGAAATATACGAGTCTAATGTAGTATGTCTGCCAGGTATTTTGGGAGAGCAAACTCTATTATAGTACATGTTACCTTCTTATGAACATGCTTTATTTTTCCCCATTTTGTCAATCATTCGTTTCTTTGATCGTTTAATTTCAACTCCAAAACATATCTATCATCGTTTACTTTTGATTCGTTCGGATGTTTATTTTATTGAATTTTCGGATTTTTATATTTGAGAATTTTGCGGTAATGATATTGATAGAAAAATTAATTTTTGTCAAAGTATTATTTCAACTATTATTTTAGAAACCATTGTTTAGAAAAATATTTTTATTTCGGTGGAAAAAAATTTGACTCAAATATATTAAATTTTTTGACTCTTCATTATTTGTAAAAATATTTTTGGGTAAAATAATTTTTATTTTTATCATATAATATTTTTTAATTCATTCGACAATTAATTAATTAAGACTTACAAATTTTGAGTCATTCGGAGGTTTATTTTATTTCGTTTTAATTTTCATATTTAAGAATTTCGCGCATATTGAGAAACAAATTCATTTTTGTAAAATTATTAAATTATTTTTATTATTTAAATTAAAATTATTTTAGGAAAAAAATGTATTTGATTTAAATAAGCGATTACTTGCTTATTATAAAAGAAATATTTACTTGAATCAAATAATTTTTATTTAAATAAATAATTTGCTTCAAATACTGAATTAATTTTTCTTTAAATCAAATAAATTGCATTTGAACCAATAATAAATAAAAGAATTAAAGAAAAATTATTTGATTCAAGTAAATATTTCTTTTATAATAGACAAGTAATTAATAATAAATAGTGAAATTTAACGATCACTCTGAGTCAAGGAAAATAAAAATAAAAGAAATTCAATTCTTTTTACGTTTCGGCAGCACAGCTGTCCTCTTCAGAACGAAAAAAAAGAAAATTAAAAAATTAAAATTATAAATTAAGATAGGCACATCTTTGTCGCTACGGTTACAATATGAATGAATTACTTGAATTAAATAAATTTTTTTTTAGTTTATTACACAGAATAATAATTATATTTTCGATGGAAAAAAATTTGACCATTGACTAAAATAATAAATTGCTTGTCTGTCGTGAAATTATTTATAGAAATAGGTATTGACTTTTGTGTAAAATAATTTTTATTTCTATGTTAAAGAATATTTTTTAATTGACTCAAAACTATAAATTAATGAAAACAATAAAAAATTAATTTTGTAATAAAATATGAAAATACATTTTTTTTCATTGTATTTGTTGCATATATAAAAATTATTAGTTCGATAAAAAATTACATGATTCAAATCAAAATTACATTGAAATTTATTTTTTTAACAAATTATTTCACTTTTTTGTAATTTTTCGAAGACATTCTGCTATTTTCTAAAAAAGATGGCACACGTGTTATAAAAATAAAGTTATAAAAAAGTTCAAAAATAACTTTTCGACTTAACTTGAATTTTTATTAGCAGAAGCAAAATATTAAAATATTTAAATAATAATTACCTATGTAAATTAATTTATTAATATTTATTATTCATAATAATTAATCACTTGTAAAAAATAATAATTATCAATTTTTTTTTATTATTATTGATTAAGAATACTTAAAAAAATAATTTAGAATATTTTATTTTTATGAAAATACTGAAAATTATTTAACATTTAATGAATAAGTTCATTTTTTATGTAAATAAATTTCATTATTTAATTAAATGAATAAACTTATTTTGTAAATAAATAAATTGAATTATTTATCGTAGGAACAAAATTTACTTATTAAACAAATTAAATTAAATATTTGTTGAACGATTAAGTTTATTTCTAAATAAAAAAATTCAATAAATTATCTTATTTTTTAAATAAATAAGTTCAATTATTTATTGAATGTATAAACTTAATTATTTCCAAAAAATAAATTATATTATTTAATTAAATGAATAAACTTATTTTTCCAATTAAATGTAATTTTAATTATTAATTTTATTTTTAAAATCGCAAATAATTAAAGTTTTTTTTTGTAACAAATTCTTTTATATCTTCGTTTCAATTTAAATATTATTTAATGAATTTTTATTAAACAATCATTACTTTTTTTTAACAATAAAAATGTGTCAGTTCATTGTAACAATTTTATTTGTTATTCTTCTTTTTTGTAATGCTAATTATTTTTTTGTTTGAAAAAACAACATTTTTTTGCTATTATGTAACAATTATTATTATTATTTTCATTATTACTGTTATTATTATTTTGTATTTTCTATTATTTCGGTGGTTATTATTATTTAAATAATAATAGTAATAATAATAATTATTGTTATTATTATTATTTTCTATTGTTATTATTTACCTAATTATAAACTCAGTTCAACAAATAATTATTAATTATAATTATTTTCTGTTATTTGTACATAATTATAAATAATATTTAATAATATAGAAATTGTACATATCACACTTTGAGCGTTGCTCTTTTAAATTAATTAAAGCCATAAATCGGATTTAAGTTTCGCGCCTTTATTATTTTTAGTGGTTTGGTTGGTGTGAGTGACATAAAGTTCATATACATGAAGTGTAACGTATTATAGGTGTAAATGTGTTGGTGTACAATGCAGGTTAATGCAGTTGTCAACATGGCGGAAGCTGGTGTACTTGTTACTATTTCTGGTCCTGCACTTTCTTTGCTTTTGTACGAAAATGCACGAAGTAATGGTGATCAGGTAATTATTATAAAATTTCTTATTCAATTTTATCTTTCTACATAATTAAGTATGCGCATTTTTTGTCAGCTATCTTGGTATTAATGACATATTTTAAAATGTGAACATAACCTCTCTGCGTCTAACCTATAATGACTTTTATGGATTTTGTCAGTGTGACATACACTGAAAAAAAAATGATAAAGTTGATTTTTTGCAGAATAATATCAATAATATTAACGGAGAAAAATGTCAAGAGTAATTTTACAATATTGAATGATGGAAAATGTGACCATTGGTCTAATTTTGAAAAAGTTTTGGACGATATTTGAATTTGCAGAATAACCTTTTTTTACGGCTCTTTAAATGTCTTTTAATTATTAACAATGCTAATAATTTTGTATACGTGGTTTATTTTTGTATTTTAATATCAAAAGTTGGTAGTTTTTGTAAGAATATGTACAAGTTTAATTGAAAGAGAGAGAAGAAGGGAAAAATTGATAAAATAAGGAACAACTGTTAGGTTATGTTCTATTTTTTGCGGTTTTTTTTCGTAATAATGATTTATTATCGATTTTTTTTGTAACGAAGATAAATAATTACAGATAGGATTGCTTCTTGGAAATGTATTGACATTTGTTACGAAAAAAGTGACGGACTGTGAGAGACAAGTAGAGAAAACTGAGCATCACATTAGTGAGTATAAAAATCCATTTTTAATTAATATTGTTAATATTTTATTATTAGATATTTAGAATTAAATTTTACTGATTATAGATATTGAGACAGTTACGGTTTGTTCGAAAGACATTATAAAAGATGGAGTTGGAAGAATTCATCCAGAAAGATTGGATTCCGTCGTAAGAAATATGGAGAAACGTGTAGTCGGCTGGTTTCATTTTCGTAAACACAATTTCCTACAACCAACAATGAAAGATAAAATATTACACAAAGAATTTGCGTCGTTTTTTTCGAATTTAACACGTGCACGCGAAGAACATTTTATAATGTTTCTTTTAAATTCTTCGATAACGACAAATTTAGGTACTCATAAGTTCCGACACGTTTGTCTTCAATATTGTCGTGAGTAAGTTCCCTGAAATTTTAATAACTAATAAATTCTTAATTTAAAGAAATTTAAATTTAGATTTTAACTGTACAATTGGACAGTTAAACTATATTTATGTTTTAACGTTTAACTGTTTAAGTTAAAATCATTTTCTAGTTCATTGAATTTTTTGTTAATTTTTCAGTTCATATCGTCCAGTTGCAATGAGAGTAAATAATTTGGGTGATGATGTTGCGTGTCTCGATGGATCTGATTATAAATCGGTGCCACAAAGAAGACTCAGAGAAACAAATTGTTTTACGAAACTTGTTGATGGACTAAAGTACGTTTATTAATTTAGAATTTAATTTCTTTCTTTTTCAGAGAATTAATTATTCGTTTTCCTTTAGATTAAATCCAAATAACACATCGAGTGTGAAAATGGTGTCAATAATTGAAAAAAGATCGGAAGACTATTTGCATGAAATGATATCAGAAGTTTGTCGATCTGACGAAGAAGTTTCAAAATTACAGGAAGAAATTCATCTATTGCGAGCTAAATTGTTGAAAAAAAATTTGAGAAATTTTATTACACAAATTGAAAAGGCTTCTGAAGTGCAACACAGTATAGAAAGTGAAAAAATATCAACTACAGCTCAAATTCATGGTTCACCACGATCTACACACTCTGATGATTTATTTGATTCTGATTCTCCATCTCATGTGGTATGTGTACTGTTTCTAAATAATTATTTTAATACAACAACAGGCCTTGGATATTATGACTTTTTTCGATTATTTAATAAAAATGCGACATTTCTCGAAGTATTTTAATAAACTGCTTCTTTTTCGAGTTTTCTTCCAAATATTGCAAAAAATGCCACTTTTTTGGTATAAAATACTACTTAATTTGATCTTCAAAATGTGATAAATAAAAAATAACTCTATAGTCAAAAATTTATTTTTAATTTAGACTTTTTAAAATATTTTTATGTAATTCGATGATAACAGAATGGCAGTTGAAATTTTTATAAAATCTTGAATTTTCTTATTTAAATAAATAAATTCTCGAAGAACTTCTTGACAATTACTCAAAATAATTGATTCAGAGAAAATATATAAAATAAATTTTGAAAAATAATTGATTTTTCGTAAATTTATATTAGAAATGTTAAGAAACAATTAAATTGAAAAATTCTGAACAATTCAGTTTAAAAAAAATTAAATTGAAACATTTTTGAAATTTATTTATTTATTTATTTATTAGTTTTATTAATTAATTAATTATTTATTTATTAATTAGTGAAATTAGTTGAATCATAAAATTGTCGAAAAATCGAAATTTTGTAAAATTGAATGGAAAATAATTAAATTTTAATTGTATTTTAAGTGATCTTTGTTTTTCTTGAAGAAAAAAAACATTGTGAAGCAAAAATTTCTGAAAATTTTCAGAATTTTCAGAAATAATTGATTTTGCGAAGAATTGAAATTAAAAATTCTACAAAATAATTGAATATCGAAAAAGTTATATTCGAAAATTTCAAATTTCAGAAAAAAAATAACAAAAATTTCTGAAAGTTTCAAATTGAATTCTTTTGAGATTTGAATTTTAAATAATTTTAATTATTTCTAAAAAAGTTAGTTTTTTTGAAAAATTTTTATTCAAATTTTTTTGAACTTTGTTGAATTTTTGGAATATTTTTACTAAATTGAAAAATTTTTGAAACATCGAAATTTCGTAAAATTAAATTGTAAATAATTAAATTTTAAATTCTACTTTAAATTAACTTTCTTTTTTGTTTTTTACATAATTAAATTCTCTGGAAATTTTCAAAAATAATTGATTTTAAGAAGAAATGAAATTAAAGATTCTACAAAATAATTGAATATTGGAAGAGTTATACTAAACAATTTGAGAAATAATTAAGTTTCAAAAGGTTTTTAAATTTAAGTTTTTAAAGATTTGAATTTTGAATAATTTTGATTAAAAATTCTAAAAAAAACTGGACCATTTAAAAAATTTTGATTTTTTTAAAATTAGTTTTTAAAGCTAGTAATTTTAAATATATATTCAATTGAGAAATTTTTGAATAAATGAATTTTCATAAAATTGAATTGAAAAACAATTGAATTTTAGACGTATTTTAAGTGAAAAATTCTTTTTTTTAAATAAATGAATTTTCAAAAAACTTTCTCTAATTTATTAAAAATAACATAATTTTAATTTTAATAATTTAATAATTTTAATTCAAAATTCTAGAAAATAATTGAATTTTGAAGAAGTCACACTTGCAATTTTTAAAAATATAATTGAATTACTGAAGGTTTCAACTTAAAATTTTTTTTGAAAATTTCAATTGCTGTAGAAGTTTAATTACATTTAAATATTAATTTGAAAAATGTTTAAACTTTTCAATAATTTTAGTTAAAATTCTATAAAGTAATTAAATTTTAGAAGAATTACAGTTTTAATTTTTAGAAGGAATAAAATTTCAGAATGTTTGAAATTGAAATTTTATTAAATTTCAACACTTGTGGAAAAATATATTACTATATATTTAAATATACAAAGTATTTAAATATTAAAAACTTAATTATTATTAATGTAAAAGTATTTACATATTTATTTAACAATTTTATTATAAAATTTAACAAATTTATTAAAATTTTGAATAATTGATTTAAGAAATTCTGAAAAAATTAGGTTTTTAAAAAATTTTTGATTAAAATTTGTTGAAGATAATTGAATTCCTAAAAGTAATTTGTTATGAAATTTTCTAAAAGCTGTAAATTTAGTTCAATTTTATTGAAATGAATTTAATATTTTGTCTTTTAAAAATAATGGAATATTACTCAAATTTAGAATTGAAGCTACTATTGAAATAAGAGAAATATGTATTCAGGGAAAAATTAGAAAAATACAAAATAAAATTTTTGTGACTATTCAGAATAAAATGATCGATCCGAGGCCTATAAAATTGTTGTATATTAATTTTAATTTTTTTTTTTTTAAATTATTAAATTTAACATTAATTTCAGCCATTGTCAAATACGACATTCCAAAATCCACACCTGATGAAAAAAATGAGTTTTGAAAGACCAAGTCAATCGCCAGTTTCAAAGGAGAATCGAAGTTACTCGTACTCGGAATTTAGTTACAGTGATATAGCTCGAAGCGCAAGTAATAGTTCGCCAGATAATACAAAAGGTCGGGGAAGAGGATTAAAAACAGTGAATAAAAGTAGTGTGGACGAAAAATATTCCACGTCAAAGAGACAAACGACGAATTCTCCTAAAAATACAGGTAAAAGAAATGAACGTCATTCTATTGCCGATTTTGGTTCAAACAGTCAGGAAGAGACATTTCCCTTAGTTAATAAAGAACCAACACCTTGACGAATAAGTTATTCAGAAAATTAATAATAAGTTCAAGAATGTTACTATTTGCCATTCCAATTTTGTTTTTTTGTTTTTTATTTTTTTAATGAAACAAAAGATATACTAATTTTGTTTTCATTTTCTTTTTACTGGAAATAATCTCCACTAAAAAAATGCCATTGTAAATAATTCATTATCTTGAAAGTTAATAATGAATAGTTCCTAATAATTAGTTTATCCTTATTTTATCGACGACGATCGATATTTTCAAAAGAGAAAATAATAAAAAAAAAGGTTTAATTATTTTTCAAAGAAAAAAGAAAGAATTCACAAATTTTACTGTGTAGTGTTATCTAAAGATTGTTAATTTGCTATAATAATAGGAACTTTGCCTTGACTCCTAAGTGCAAAAGAAGATTGATTTTATTTTAGCTGCATATAAACGCTATCTAAACATATTCTGAAAGAACTTTGAAAAGAAAAAAATTACGAATAGTTGCTCTCTGTACTTAAGTGTTTATACTTGCAAAAAAAAGCGATACTTAAAAAGCAATCGCCAAGTACTTGCAGGATCAACTTTTACTAAACAAGAAAGAAATTCTACTAGCAATATAAGAGTAAATGATATTTTATTACTTAAAAGAGTCTGATATTCTAAGACTTCACAAATACACCAAAGAAAAGTGTAGGCACGACACATTTTTTCTTTATAGGAAATATTCTCTTTTGTAAGATCAGTTCAAAAAAAAAAAAAAGAAAGAAAGAAACAAGGAAGCATTAAAAAAAACAAATTTTTATGTTACGATATGCTTTTTATAAATACTGTATAAATCGGTGAATAATGAACTGCTCAACACAATTATTATAATACAACGTTTGTCATGTAAAGTCTTTTTCTTCGTCGCAATAATTTGCACTGAAACCAGATCACTATAATTAAAAAAAAAATTTAAATAATATCCACGGGATTATTTGGTAAACCAGTAACTTCCCAAATTGTTGCCGCTAAACGTCTCGAATGTTCCAAAACACAAGACGCAGTTGCCAATCCAAGATGAACACAATAAAGTTCATAAATCCTCATTCTATTTGGCGATACTTTTGGAAAATAAGCACTCGCTATTTTTCTATGAATCAATAGAATTACAATTAATCTAAATTAGTATTTTAATAAAATATAAAAAATGAAGGGGAAAAAATTTTTTTCAACAAACCTGTAATAATCTCCGCAGAGTATTCCAGGAACACCGAAATTCGAAATCATGTGATTAACATATTCTTTATTTTTAAGTGGTGTACCCTTGGAAAAGAAAAAATTATTATTATTATTCCTTTTTTTAAAATTTAAAATTTAAAAATATATTATTACATTATTTCCGTGGAGGAAAAAATAAATATTTTTAATGTTCTATAAAAAGTCACGATACTCACCGAACTGTCTTCAAACCATAAAAAGTAGGCATAATTAAAAGTCGTGTCTTTCCACATTACAGACATATGACCTTCTTGTAAATGAATCCTGCTTTCTTCAATCATTGTCCATATCTGAAATTATTTCTCAAAAATCTTTAATAAACTATATGTTCATTCTTATAAAGTATAAAATAAAAAACAGTCTTTTATTGTCCTATAATTATAATTATTATATAATTACTATTAATATTACTAGAGATGAAACTGTGAATTTTGGGAATGAAAAAAAAACAAACACAATCATTTCGGCTTTTTTCTGTGATAAATAAATAATGTAATAATTGTACAAGTGAAAGAGGAAAATAAATTCTATAAATGGAAAAATATTGTTGGCGATTTGTCTTGAAAATTGATGACCGAATTATTTTAAAACTGCGTGGAAAAATTCTGAAAATAGATAAAATCTTAGATTGAATCTATTTTTATTTTTAATGTTTCTTTCAAATTTTATTTCTAATTAGGAATTTTATTGTTAATTAGCAAATGTCACGCGCGTGGAACGTGATATTCAATTTATCATTATTTTATTATGCAAATTATAAAAATTTTTATTTTCAAATATGAATTTTTTAATAATTACAGATTCAAACATTAAAAAAATTCAATATTATTAACTAATTTAGTAATTAATTATTCTTGTTTATTAATTTCAAAAATTTTAATAAAATTCTTCGCAAGAATAAAATTGTTGAATTCTTGCGAAGAATTTTATTAAAATTTTTTTTTTTTTCATAAAATTTTTTTTCATTTTTTTTTCTATTTTCATAAATAAAAACATTCTTTGTAAGAATTCAATTATTTTTGTTATAATTATAATTAATAAATAAATTATAATTAAATTATTTTGAAACAAAATTTTAATAACATTTCACGAACGAATACAATTATTTTCTAAAATTTTAATAAATCCTTTGAAAAAATGCAATTATTTTTTTAAATAGTGAAATTCTTTGCAAAATTCAATTTTATATTGAAAACAATTCACGAAAGAATTAAATTTTTTTCAGAACTCGTTCTAATAAAAAATTTCAAACAAATTCAATTATTTTCTAAAATTTTAATAAATCCTTCGAAATAATTCAATTATATTTATAAATATATTAAAATTCTTTGCAAAAATTCAATTATTTTCAAAACAATTCACGAAAGAATTAAATTTTTTTCAGAACTCATTCTACATAATAAAAAATTTGAAACAAATTCAATTATTTTCTAAAATTTTAGTAAATTCTTCAAAAAAATTCAATTTTTAATAATATTTATCGAAAAAATTCAATTATTTTCTAAAATTTTAATAAATCCATCGAAATAATTAAATTGTATTTATAAATATTAAAATTCTTTGCAAAAATTCAATTATATTCATAACAATTCACGAAAGAATTCATATTTTTCTAACTTGTTCTAATAAAAAATTTCAATAAAATACAATTATCTATTTATAGATTTATAGATTATCTATTTTTAGATTTTTTACCAAAAAGTGGAGACTATTAAATAAGTAAAGTTTTTTTCAAGAGCACAAAAATAATGAAGCCAAATGCCATAAAAAAGAAGAAAAAATGTTGAATTTTAAGAAATTCATATTTTTGAATTTTTTCGAATTTTTGATAATTTTAGATTTTTTACCAAAAAGTGGAGACTATTAAATAAGTAAAGTATTTTTCAAGAGCACAAAAATAATAAAGCCAAATGCCATAAAAGAGAAGAAAAAATGTTGAATTTTAAGAAATTCGTTTTTTTGAATTTTTGCTAATTTTAGAATTTTTACCAAAAAGTGGAGACTATTGAATAAGTAAAGTATTTTCCAAGAGCCCAAAAATAATGAAGCCAAATGCCATAAAAAAGAAGAAAAAATGTTGAATTTAAAGAAATTCCGTTTTTTAAATTTTTTCGAATTTTTGATAATTTTAGATTTTTTACCAAAGAGTGGAGACTATTGAATAAGTAAAGCATTTTTGAAGAGCCTAAAAATAATGAAGCTAAATGCAATAAAAGATACGAAAAAATGTTGAATTTTAAGAAATTCGGTCTTTCGAAATTTTGATAATTTAAATAGTAATATTTTCCTACCGAAATAGCTAATGGTAACTAATTATTAATTTTCCGGTGAAATCAAATTCCCGGCTATTTTCTGATTTTCCAAATTGGTAGAAACACTTTTAAATGTATTGGTAGAAACTAAAACTCGTCGAAGACGGGTACGACAGCTAGCTCGTCATAAAATATTTCAAAAGAATTGAACTATTTTTTAAAATTTTAATAAATTCTTCGAAAAAATTCAATTATATTTATAAATAGTAAAATTCTTTGCAAAAATTGAATTATTTTTAATACAATTTTATTAAAATCGTAGGAAAGAATTCAATTTTTTAAAAATTTTTAATGTTTTTTGAAAAATTCTTCTTAAGAATTATTTTTATACTTAAATAGTAACATTTTTTGCAAAAATTTAATTATTTTCAAACAAAATTGTAATAACATTTTACGAACAAATACAATTTATTATTTTCTACAATTTTAATAATTCCTTGGAAAACAATTCAATTTTATTTTCTAAATAGTGAAATTCTTTTGCAAAAATTCAATTACATTCAAAACAATTTCACGAAAGAATTCAATTTTTTTCATAATTCGTTATAAAAAATTTCAGAAGAATTCAATTATTTTCTTAAATTTTTAATTTTCATTATTAACAAACACGAATATTTTAAAAACTTGAAAGAAATTGTTCATAAAATTTAATTATTTAAAAAAATTTGAATTAAAATTCTTAAAGAAACTCCATTATTTAAAAATAAATTATAACAAAATTCTTCATGAGAATTCAATTATTTTACTAAATAATAAAATCCTTCGAAGAAATTTTATTATTATCAAATTTTTTGATAAAATTCTTTGCAAACAATTCGATGGTATTCATGAAGAATACTTTGAAATAAAAAATTTTTCTTTCTTATTTAATTATTATTTAAAAAAAAAAATAGAAAATTTTGAATTTTAAATAAATTTTTTCTTCACCTTTGTAGTTGTGAGTTGTAGAGTTTCTGAATTTGTAAAATCAACAGTCGGAGCTGTTAGTCGGTGATTAGTTCGATCGATGTAAATAAAATGGACCAGTCCGGGAAATTCTTCCAAATATTTGTTGATGGTTAGGGAAGTTCTCGTATATAATTGAAACATTAAGGACAGATATTCAACAAGCGGTACAATTAATTACACAAGCAGGCATATTTTTTGGAAATCACCTAAATTGTTGTATATACAAAATAAATATGTACAAAAAATTTCTTGAATCTCATGGTAACATTAAATGATTTTACGTTGGTGAAGTTTACAACATTTATCATCAAAGTTTGTAAAAAAAATGTTTAAACTCAAAATTATATTTTCGTTTACAAATTTTTCTTTTTTAACTTCATGATTAAGAAACTGTAAAAATCTTTTTTGTCTCAATTTGATATCTGCAGAAAAACTGAATTTTCATATGGGAAAAATTTGAATAGAAAATTATTTTTTCTCCCAAATCGTTCATTATAAATGTTGTGTAAACTTGACAAATGTATTCGATTTTTGAAAATAATGTTACTCATAACGATTCAGAAATAACACAAAATTGAGAATTTAAATAAAAGAAAAACTCATAAATGAAAAATGAATCTTTTATTTAAAAACTCAAACAAAAAACAATGCTAGCAAAAAAAAACATTATGTACGGTACATTATAAACATATTTTGAAAAGGATATGATCCGAGACTAAAATTCTTGAGTGCCTTAACTTTGAGAAAATCACTGAAATCATTGAGTTTTTGACTGACGAGTCGACTGACGGTTGTTATCACGTCAAAACCCTGTCGCAATAAATTCCTATCGAAACATGTCAATCGAAAGAGTTCCTTCATTGTCTCAATGAAACCTGACATATTTGACTCGATCTGAATAATGAAATCTGGATCTCTTGATTTAAAAAGATCTATATACTTTTTGCGGACAAATTCCCATTTCACTTGTAAACGTCTTTGACACATGTCTATGTCGTTGTTTATGTATGCTCGATGCTTCTTGATCCCGTCTATTGTCTTTTTAATGGATGTCTCTAAATTTTCCACAGCCGATCTCAGATCATCCATATCCCTTTGTAATTGTAACTTATTAATGATATTTAAATGATAAAAACTATTATACAATCCACAGGAAATTCCCGAATTCATTACCTCAACAATTGTCACTAAATTAATACCTTCCGATAATTTTGAAATATGAATTGCATTCGCTGTGAAATTTTCATCTGATCCAAGTAAAACTAATTGACTGTACAAACCGTCTTCGGCGAAGGTATAAAGTCCTTCACTTATCGATGAATATCTTGATTCTCCTGTGAATATTTTTAGAAAATTAGTGATTTTTTCGAAATATTATTTTATTTACAGAGTTGCCATAGGTCAAGGAAAAGACAGGGAAAGTAGAAATGCTTAAAGTCAGGGATTTTTATTAAAAGTAGTGAAAAAAATTATATTTTTCAAATTCATAAGAAAATTCCGAATGTTGGTGTCTTTTTTGTTTGCCTCATAAATTATGAAATTACCACGAATTCTAATGAAAAACCTTCAAATTTTTCTATTTCTGATAATAATTTATTTTTTAATAACTTAAATCCTTGAAGAACTATATCATCATAAAATTATTACTCATCAATTATTTAATGAATATTTTATTATTTTTACTTAAATATTTCAAAATTAATTGAACTTTAAAAAAGATGCGTTTATAATTTTCACTCGAATTTTCATAAATAGATGAACTTCTAAAGGTTTCAATTTGAAATTTTAGAAAATTTCAATTTTTAATTAGTTTAATTCAAAAATTTTAAAGAACTTACAAGATTTTTGAAAAATTTTAATATTTCAAATTCTTTTGAAATTAGTTAAATTTTCCAATATTTATTTAATTAATTTTAGAAGAAGAAGAAAAAGAATTTTAGTTAAAGACACAAAAAAAAAAATGAATTTACGAGCAGTTACTAAAGTTTACAGAAATTCAATTATTTTCAAAAGTAATAAAATTCTTCGCATAAATTCAATTATGTTCAAAAATTCTTTAAAATTCTCGATAAAATTTCAATTTTCTTTATAAATAATAAAGTTTTTCTCCAAAATTCAATTATATTCAAAAATTTTAATGAAATTCTTAGCAACATTTTGAATAATAATTAAATATTAAAACCGTTATTGTATGAATTTTCATTAATAATTTAATTTTGAAAAGGTTTTAAGAATTTTAATTTCAAAATTTTTCCTTAATTTAATGATTTTGAATGCCTACTAATTTAATAAAATTTTCCAAAAGAATTCAATTATTTAAAAAAAAAAAAATTAATAAAATTCTACGCAAACATTAAATTATTTTCATAAAATAAAACTCATCGCAGGATTTTAATTATTTATTATACAATTTTAATCGAATTTCTTCTTCTTCTTCTTCGAATATTTAAAAAATTTTTGATAAAATTTATTGCCTGAATTCAATTTTAAGAAACAATCAATTATGGAATAAATTATTTATTTTTCAATTTAAATAATTAAATTTTCTAATAAAAATTTATTTAAGAATGTATTTTAGTTAAAATTTTAGATAATAATTAAATATTAAAACTGTTATTATAAGGATTTTTATTAATAATTTAATTTTAAAAAGGTTTCAGGAATTTCAATAAAATTCTTTGCAAAATTCAATTATTTTCATAAATAAAAATATTCGTCACAAGAATTCAATTATTTTCAAAATTAATAAAATACTTTGCAGAAATTCTATTATTTTTTAAAATTTTTAATAATTATTTTCAAAATTTCAATTATTTTTAAAGATAATAAAATTCTTCAAAATTTAATTATTTTCAAAATTTTTTAAAAAATTCTTGGCAAAATTTCAATTATTTTCAAAAATTTTCCTCAATTTAATGATTTTTGATAACTTTCTATAAAATTCTACGCAAATATTTAATTATTTTCATAAATAATAAAAATTTTATAAGAATTCAATTATTTACAAATTTCTAATAAATTTCTTCGCAATAATTCAATTGTTTTCATACATAATAAAACTTGTGGCAGAATTTCAAATTATTTCACTTAATTTAAATACAATTTTATTCAAATTCAATTATTTAAAAATTTGTTGATAAACATTTTTATGAGAATTTAATTATAAGAAACATTCAATTACTCAATCAATTATTTATTTTTGTATATTTGAATAATATTTAATTCTCGTAGAATTTTCTAATAAAAATTGATTTAAAATTGCATTTCATTAAATATTTTAGATAAATAATTGAATAAAAAAGCATTATGCCCTGAATTTTTAGAAATAATTGAATTTTGAAAAGGTTTCTTTGAAAATTTGAATTTTTCATACTTTTAACTAACAATTCTGTAGAATTAATTTTTTTTCAAAAAAGTTTAATCGAATTTTTTTTAATTTAGTTTTTATTTCCTGATATAATTAATTGAAGAATTTTCAAGTAAATAAAATTTCGTAAAATGAAAGTGTAAATAAATGAATTTGAAAATTTTCAAAGAACTTTTTCAATAATGATTAAAAATAATTGATTTCTAGAAGAATTTTAGTTATAAATTGTAGAAAATAATAATTGAATTGAAATGATAAAAATTATTTTAATGAAGTTACAGTAACAATTTTCTTGTATTATAAAATAATGATTTCATTACTCAGTCACCTTTAATTATTATAAAATATGAAGAAATTGATCTAAATCTTCATGTTTTCTAATAATATTTCTATAATTGTAATTCAATTTCAAAAGGTTTGAATTAAAATTTTTTGAGAATCTTAAGTCCTATGGAAAAATAATAATGATTAAATATTTATTTAAAAAAGAAGTTATGGTTGTTTTCGAATAATTTTACAATTTAAGAAATTCGTAAATAAATATAATAGATAATTTTTTTATAGTAATTTTTAAAGTGAATCAGAATATTCTTTATGGTCAGGGAAAAACAAAATTAAATTTTCATGACAACCATGATTTAAATTGTTTAAAAAAACAGTTTGAAACAAAAGACGTTTTTATAGCTTTAAAAAAATTCTTTTGGTTTATTATATGGTGAAATATTTTCATACCGAATAGATTTTGAATATCTTCGGATGTGGGATTCGATAGGAGTGACGATGAACTTGATGTGAGATCCTCATTTTTTGGAATTGAGCTATTTGGTCGTAATAAAATGTCCCTCTCTTGTGTTTCCTTATTTTCTGCCGGCGATTCACTTTTATTTGCCACATAACACATTAGAATCATCATTAAAATATCGCAGGGATTTAAGTCTTGAGCATTTTTACTTGAGAATAATGATACAAATTTTTGTTCCACCAATATTAAAAGATGAACGTTAGAAAATTCTAATTGCGCTTTAAGTTTATCCGCCGCGTCAGTTAATACTTTAAGAGTCGATGATGCTAAATCAATATTCACTGATAATTGTTCCACAGCCTCAGTTAAAAAACTCTGTTCAATTTCTCGTAAATGCATCCAAGCGTCCAAAAGTGATGATACGAGATTTGCCTTTTGTATACTCGATTTTAGTCTGAAATTAAGAACGAAAATGAAAATTTTAAATACTAATTAGAGTAGAAATGGCAGGGCTCGAACAAGGTTTATTCAAATTTTTTAGTAGTAGCACCCTCACCCGAACGCCATCAAACAATCAAAATTTTGGAAAAAGTCATTAAAAATTTATTTCTTCTAAATTTAAGAATTCTAATCATCCAAAAATCACCTGAGGTCTAGTAGGGACTAAGCTCTACTCAATTCTGAAGAATAGTGAATTTTATTTTAATTTTTAAGTAGTAGCACCCTCACCCGAACGCCATCAGACAATCAAAATTTGGAAAATACGAAAATAAAAATTTATTTCTTCTAAATTTAAGTATTCTAATCATCCAAAAATCACCTGAGGTCTAGTAGGGACTAAGCTCTACTCACTCCTGAAGAATACAGAATTTTATTTTAATTTTTAAATAGTAGCACCCTCACCCGAACGCCATCAGACAATTAAAATTTTGGAAAAAGCCATTAAAAATTTATTTCTTCTAAATTTAAGTATTCTAATCATCCAAAAATCACCTGAGTTCTAGTAGGGACTGATATCTAAACAATTCTGAAGAATACAGAATTTTATTTTAATTTTTAAGTAGTAGCACCCTCACCCGAACGCCATCAGACAATCAAAATTTGGAAAATACGAAAATAAAAATTTATTTCTTCTAAATTTAAGTATTTTAATCATCCAAAAATCACCTGAGTTCTAGTAGGGACTGATATCTAAACAATTCTGAAGAATACAGAATTTTATTTTAATTTTTAAGTAGTAGCACCCTCACCCGAACGCCATCAGACAATTAAAATTTTGGAAAAAGCCATTAAAAATTTATTTCTTCTAAATTTAAGTATTCTAATCATCCAAAAATCACCTGAGTTCTAGTAGGGACTGAGCTCTACTCACTCCTGAAGAATACAGAATTTTATTTTAATTTTTAAGTAGCAGCAGGTCCACCCGAACGCCATCAGACAATCAAAATTTTGGAAAATAGTCATTAAAAATTTATTTCTTCTAAATTTAAGAATTCTCTTTCTCTTTTTTGAGTCGGACTGGTTATATTTTTGTCAGTAATTGGTCTATAAGTGGTCCATAATTTTTTTTCTTCCATATTTTTAAATACTTTCACTGGTTCGAGCCCGGAGGTGGGGTAAAAAAGTCATTTGTGTTTTGTACTGAAACTATTGAACTATATATTTTAATTTTGATTATAATGGAAGTATTTATGACTTACGAAGAAACATCAGGTCCGCAAATGAGTCTTATGATAGATATACAAATTCCCAATGTCCTCTTCATTAGATCTATTTCTTTGGTAGAAATATAAATAAATGTGTTCCCCATAAATTCATCAAAAACCATATTTGTCCCGTCTTCGCATTTCATTGACGTGTAAGAATTTCCAAATTGTGATGCCATTATATGTTGCGATGTCACAATCGGAGAAAATAATTGCATGACAATGTTTGCACTTGGTGAATCCTCCGATTCCTCTTCATCCTGATAGAAGTTCAAATTTTAATTTATTAAATATAATCATTATTATTCTTTAATAGTAAAATCATTATAATAATTAATTATTACTTAATTAAATAAAAATAATAATAATTATGATAATTATTATTTTGCTATTTTAATTATTGTCAAAAATGCTATTATTATAAATATAGGTAATAATTAATATTTATTATCGGAATTATTAATTATCGGAACAATTATTATCATAAACAATTTAATTAGATATTTACGTATAATAATTAATTATAATATGTATAATTAATTAATTAGAGTACTATATTGGAATAAAAGAATGAAAATATTGAGGTAAAAATAAGTAATTAAATTAGTTTTGCTAAACATAATTAAAAAAGTCCGAATGACACGCATGAAAATTTACAAAAAAAAGAGAAAAAATAAAAATGTACATTGTACTTGATTATGCAAAGCAATGATAAAAATTGTTAAGAATGACTAATATTAATTTTTCCTTGATGAAATACGTTCTTAACATTTATCGCTCTAAATAATTTCAGTTTGGCAAACATTTTTTTGACGTATTTTGAATATTTTTGCAATCGATGATAAAAGTTTAAAATTAAAACATATTTGTCAGATTTGTTAGATTAATTTTTAATTTTAAGATATTGCAGTTTGATTATTGTATTTATATATTTTTATTTTTGCAAACTACATTTTGTGTCAAGATTTTTACTATACCTAATTAACATACGATACTATGTATCAGTATTTTTTATTTTTTTTACTTATTTCTATTTATATAACTTTATTTTTTCACTTTTTTTTAACATTATTTTTACTACTTTATTTTTATTAATAAAACATGAATAAAAAAATAAATAGAAAAAATAATGAAAAATAAATAACAAATGTTTTGATTAAATTAACTTTATCTAAAGTAAAATAATTATTAGGCCTTTTCATTGTAAACTTAATTACAAAAAGCGGATTCAACAAACAATTATTAATTATTAATATTAAGATTAATTATCAGTATTAATTATTAGGGCTTTTTATTATAATCTTAATTACAAAAAGCGATTTTAACGAACAACTTTTTTTTATTATTATTAGTATTAATAATTAATAATAATAAACAAAATCGTTGTTGCATATTTTTAGTTTCTTCTGGAAGAAGAAAATTAAAATGAATTTTCTTCTAAAATGTAAATAAAATAAAATTAAAAAATTAAAATTAAAATGTTATCCAATAAATCATTTGACTTTTCTATATAGGTATAATTAAATTTTATTAACCTACAATATTAATTAAAAAATAAAAATTAACACTTACTTCACTTTCACTGAGAAGACCTTGACTTTTAGCCAATTTTTTAATGTGCCTGACAAATTTTTTATTACACTTTGAAAAAAGCACATCGTTAAGATGATCAAATACCAAAATTCCTCTCATTGTTGTTTTATTTACATTCGCCGATGAAGAATAATTATTATTGTTATATTTTTTTTCTTGACTATGGTATGACGTGTATTTGTATATTTAATAATTGTATTTTTCTTTTAAAATTTACTTTCTTTCATTATTAATAATCTCCTGCTTAGAAATAATTTTAAAAGAAATGAATAAATATTAATGTCACTCATGATATCAAAATATAGATATATACATATATATATTCACAATATTCACATTTGCGCTTCTTGTTTAATGAAAAACGAAGCTGTACTAGTGGTATAATGCCAGACAGGTAAAGTTGGGTGGAGTTTATCGAACATTTTATCGGGGATTTTTGATTACACTCTTACCAGACAGATGACACTACTTGTTCACTGATTCACTGATTTATTGTTTAATAATTTTTGTTGAAAAAAAAAATTTACGGAAAAAACATTTTTTTGTTTAAAATTATTTATTTATTTTATGCAAACAAAAATTTTTCAAAAAAAACGCATTTTTTTAATTTTTAATTGTTTATAGCAACAATTATTTTAAACAAATAAATTAATTATTTAAGTTATTGTAATTATAAAAAAAATAAAAAAATGGTCAAACAAAAATTTATTTTTAAAAATTTTAAATTGTTTAGAGCAACAATTATTTTAAACAAATACATTAATAATTTTTTATTTATTTTTATTATTTTAAATAATGTTAATTAATATTGTACTAGCAATTTTAAAAAAAATAGAATTTAAAAATTTGTAATTCAATTTTCTTGTGAAAACATTAAAAGAATCAAATTTTGTAAAAATTACAAATAATTGCAAAAAATAAATTATTTTCCAGAGTGATAAAATTCTTCTCATAAAATTCAATTATCTTTCAAATTTAAAAAAAATTCTCGTCAAAATTCTAATTATTTTTATAAATAACAAAATTCTTCCCCAAAGTTCAATTATTTTCAAATCAATAATTTTAAATTCCTAAAAATAGTTCGTAAACATTTAATCATTTTCATAAATAATAAAAATTTATCAGGAATTCAATTATTTACAAATTTTTTTTATAAATTTCTTCGCAATAATTCAATTATTTTTATAAATAATCAATTTTTGTCAAAAGTAATTCAATTATTTTCATAAAAAATAATTACAAATTGTAGAAAATAATAATTGATTTGAAAAAATAATCTAAAAAAATTTACTGTAATAATATTCTTATAATATAAAAAAAAATGTTTTTATCACTTGGTCGTCTTTAATTTTTATAAAACATGAAGAAATCGATCACTCCGAGTCTTCGACTCGGAACAATCGCTATCTTCATGTTTTATAAAAATATTCTTATTTAAGTTATATTGAATTTAAAAAGATTTGAATTTGAAATTTTTTAAATTCTCAATTCCTAGGGAAAAATATTGTTGATTAAATATTTATTAAAAAAAAAGTTATTGATGTTTTCGAATAATTTTACAATTAAAGAAATTCGTAAATAAATGTAACAGAACATTTTTTTAAGTAAAATTTTTTCCTTTATTTTCTAAAAATTTAAATACGAAGATTATTATAGTTAATTGATTATTTTAAATAAATTATTAAGAATTTGTAAAAATACTGAAAACAAATTTAGTAAAAAAGAAATTTTGTTTATAAATAGAGTTGAGTGACAATGTGTTTGCAAAGTTTTAAATGTTGTAATGAACGAAATTAATTAATTTTTTTTTTTTTAATTTCAAATATTTTCCCAATAATATTGCGAATCACATATTGGATAATAATTTAAAAAATTTCAAATTATTTAATTTTTTGATTTTTATTACAATTTTAGTGATTTTTGAAAAAATTTGTTTGAAATAAATATTGCAACCAGTAATTTTTGAAAAAGTTTAAATTAAATAAATTCATTAACGTTTCGAATTTAAAATTTACTAAAAATAATTTTTTTTCTGCGTTAAAATTATTTTGTAGATATTAATTTGAATGAAAAAAGAAATTATTTGTGTAATGATTTGAATTTTACTCTTTGATTTTCATATTCTTTATAAACAAATTATTATAGAAGTAATTATTTTAAATTAAAAAAATTAGTAGATAAAATTAAGTAACGATTAAACATTTCCAAAATTCGGAACTTCAATTGAAGGAAAATTATTTTTTTTCTAATTTTAAATGTCGCGTCATGTATTAAAAATAATTTAAAATTTTTTAGTTATTTAATTAATGTTTTTAATTTCGATTACAGTCAGTAATTTTCGAAAAAATTCATAAAATATTTCGTTGATTTGAACGTTTCGAATTTTTGGAGTATACGAGCATAAAAGTAATAAAGCAATTGCTCAACTAAAATTTTAAATTTCTAAATTTTCAACTTCCTTTATAAATATTATTGTATTTTCTAGAAAAAATTATTTGTATATTATGAATTTTTACATAACGGTCTTATGACAAAAGACCACATTTGTAACCACAAAAAATGTGTCTACAACCACAAACGGCGCAGTTTTATTATTGCTATATTCTATTTAAAAGTTGTTTTTATTATTTAAAAATGTTCTTTTTTTAATATATATATATATATAGTCTATGGAATGGATATAGGATAACAATAAAAAAAGTCGTAAAACAATTTACAGTAACGCAAATATATTTCATATTTTTTTTTTTTGTTAGTTTTTACTTCATTTTTTTTTTTTAATGAAAAACAATATACCATATATCTAGTAACGAGAATAAACTCAAAAATAAAGATAAAAAGTAATTTTTAATATTTCGTATATAATATCCGAAAAGGAGTTTTAAATTGCAGGCGGCTTTTGTTTATTAATTCATTATTTATAGCATAGATTGAATTATGCAACTATGCTAAATTTTTCGGTATTTTAACAATATAATAATTTTTTTTTTAATTATTATTAATAATATTATCGATTTTCGAAACATTATACCGCCTGGAGATACAAATATTATCGAAGCACCCTGTAAGTTACGAACATTTTTTTTTCATTTTACACGCTATTGATTTTTGTGCTTCCCCTGCGTATTTATTTGGCCGTATGCAGAAAAATATTCCCCCTCATTTTTCGATTTTCATTTTGTTCTGTAGGCCATTTCTTTTTTTTCTTTTTTCCTTTTTACTAAATTGAAATATTACAACAAGATGACAAATTTCACATTATTAGGATCTTTTATATCAAACTGTATGCTATAGTAAATGTGCTGCGAGAAATTGACAGTTTAATTTAATTTTAATCAATTAAATTAAATTAAATTTCAGTTTAATTTAAATGGAAATTAGTAGCCTTTTCAATTAGTAGACATTTTCAATTTAACACAATTTCTAGAATAATTATCTTTAATTATTTATTTTACAATAAAATTTTTTTTGGTAAAATTGACTACTGAAATATTGAGCGTAAATTAAACTATAGAATATAATAATATATTTATTAAGTAATTAATTATAACTACTTAATTATATACAAAAAAGAAATTTTACCTAGAGCAGCGATAGTTTCTATAGAATAACAAAAGTCTTAAAAAAATTTCGCTATTATAGTGAATTTTATAGCTGTTCCAGATAAACTTCTCTTTAATGTATGCTAATGATTAATTGTATATAATTAATTACTAAAAATTAAAAATTAAAATTAATTTAAAAAAATTAATAATTAATTACTAAAAAAAACTAATTTAATTCAAATAATCGATTACTTGCCTATTATCGAGTCAAATATTTACTTGAATCAAACAATTTTAACATATAAATCAAATAAATTTTATACTTCAACCAATAATTATTTTTTAATAATAAAATTATTATTATACACAAATAAATATTTATTTGATAGAAGACAATTTTATTTATTATTATTATTTTTACAACAATTATTTACTCGATAATAGACAAATAATTATTTATTTCGATCAAAAAAAAATTTTTTTTAATAATTTTTTTCGGTAATAACAATTTTTTTTCAATACTTAATTATATTAACCTCTTCACTGTCAGTGGGTCTATAGAGCCATAAAAATGTCGTGCCCTGTATGTCCATGGGCTCTATAGGGCCATCGAAAAAAAAGACATTTAAAAGTTAACGAATATGGCTAAAAATCCTTACTCGGGGGTTTTTGGGGTCGCTGAATCCAAATCCGTTGTCGAAAATTCAAAATTCAAAATGGCGGCTTCAAAATGGCGCCCAAAAAAAATTTTTAAGTTAACGAATCTGTCTAAAAATACCTTAAAATGCCTACTCGGGGGTTTTCTAGGTCGCTGATTCCAAATCCTTGGTCAAAAATTGAAAATTTAAAATGGCTGCTTTAAAAAAGCTAAAAAAAATTTTTTAAGTTAACGAATTCGTTAACTTTTTAATTTTTTTTGGTGGATATTTTGAAGCCGCCATTTTGAATTTTGGCTTTTCGACCACGGATTTTGAATCAGTGACCTCAAAAACATATAATATGACAATATCATGATTTTTAAAAAAAAAATTTTTTTGAACACTTATGGCACAAAAACTTTATTTTCACTCGACTGTGAAGGGGTTAATAAATATTTTTTCAATACTTATAAATATTTATAAATAAAATAATATTAATAGAAAATAATATCAATATTTAATAATCTTAGTGATTAAGTAATAATTTCCTATTTGGTTTAGAACACAATTATTTTTGTTTAAAAAAATAAATTAACTTTTCATCATTTTTTTCTCGCAGTTTTATGATAGTCGTGATATAAATGCAATTATTAGCGTATAGTAGTATACGTTTTATTTTATTATTTATTTATTTGGACTAGATTAATAAGTCTTTTCTATTAAATATACTTTTTTTTAAAGATTTTCTACGTAAATGTCATCGTCATCTCAAATTTTCATTTTGTTTACATTTCTAAAAATCTCATTCAGAGCCAAATATCTATATAAATCTCATTCTCTTAATTTTTTTTCTCATACCATGAATTCGCTTATTCGTGCGCGTGATTACATTGGCCATGGATAAATTTAATATATAATTTTTTTTTCATAAATTTTTATATTTTTAAAATTTTTACTATAATGATAATTTTTTTCCCTATAATTTCAGTTCTAGATTAGAAACAAAAAACTTAAAAATTTTTCTAAAAATTTATTTATGTCACAATAAGCAATTTCTTTTTCCTTGGAAAGTTTTTCTTTTTGAAAATAAAAATTATGCCAGGATACTTGAGATGCAATGTACATTTTTTTAATGATGAAAAAAGAATCATTTGAAGCAAAGCTAATAATTTACAATATATTAAAATTTCTTATGAAGTCTTATGAAGTTGAAAATATCATTTTTTATATGAAATTTTTATTTTAAACCTTGGAATTTCTTTATATCAAATTTTATCAACTTTATGTTTTAGATGAAAATTTCTTTTTGTATCAAATTTATTTATTCAAATTTATTTTGTATCAAATTTTTCATATTTAAAATTTTAATTACCCATTATTTTCTTTAATTTAAGTTTTTTTTCATTTTATGATAGTTTTTAAGTTAATGATTGCCAAAAAACCTTTTTTTTTTGTTTTCATTATTTAAATATTATTTTTGAATTGGAAAGTTTTGGAAAATTTAAAAATGTTATTTCTGCGACTGAAGCAGAAAAAAATTACAATGAGAACCTTTTTACTTTCATCATTGCTGTCGAACAAATCGTGAGCATTTCTATTTTTTTTGTGCGGTTCCCTTTTTTTGATTTCGAGCACTTGTTTCTTTTTTTACACAATTTTACATCCAGTCAATTATATATATGAAAAAATTCGAGCAAATTCGCGACTTTAGAAAAATATTCTTCAAGTGTTTTTCGCATTTCTTTAAATAGCGGTGCAATCTGGTGCTCACGCAAATACACTTGATAATAATCGATAAGTCTATTGATTTGCTATTCTAAAATATATACAGGGTGTCTAACGAATTTAAAAAAAAATCATGATTGTCATTAAGAAATTTTTTTTTTTGCTTGATTTTTTCTTTTACATTAAATTTGCATACACGGAGAGAAAAATGTTATATTTTATGAAAGAATTTGAAAATTCTGAAATTTTTTTCCAGATCCATGTTTATTGCAACAAATTTGTTTGAAAGTAACGAACTTTTTTCCCTGTGTCGTAAAACACCCTGTTTAGGTAACAGAATAATGTACAATTATATAAATGTTATAAAGCACATCGCTCAAGTTCCTTCTGCTAAGAAGTTTTTTTTCCCCCTTTTTTTTACTCTAATAATAGTAAATCTATATAATTGTCAAGTAGGCCCTGATAATTTAAAAGACAGTTTATAAATTACTGCCTGTATTTATTATACATGCGACAAAAATTCGTAAGACAAGAAACTGTGAAGAGATTATAAAAATAGAGGACGGGAGAATTTGCGAATAGGTGGAAGCGTCAGGTTGATAGAAAGAGACAGAGAGTACTTAACGTCCCCTCTTGTTTGTCTCCTAGCGCATGCGCAAAGCAACTGCGCGTGCGCCACTATTTTCAACCAATGAGAGAGTGAGAGTGGCGCAAGCGCAATTTCTTCGCGCATGCGCTTGGATTCTTTTTCAGGTCTCTCGCGTTCTCTATTCTTATTTCTCTATCCAAAAAAAAAACCACACTGTTAGAAATTTCATGCTGTTTTCACTGTTTCAAAAAATTGTTCACGCAGAAAATGTTTGTCAATTTTTATTGAAGATTTATTTATTAAAGATTATAGTGGAAAAATATATTTTTATTTTTTTACAGTTCTTTAAAAAACTTCCATTTTATTATAGTATTTGCAAAACTGAAAGAAAAAAATTTTTCAAAATAAAAATTTAAAAAGAAATACTATTATGAAAAACGATTTCTAACAGTATAGTCAACAAATTATTCTTTCGCGAATTCAATGTAAAAATTCATTTTTGCAATCTTTCATCAATCATTTTCATTTTTTTTAATTATTATAATTTATACAGTATTTTTCGCTATTATAGAAGAAAATAAATACACTAATCGGAGTTTTTTTTTAACGCTACTGTGTAATTTATAATAATTTAACAATCTGACTGAAAAATATTCTTACGCACAAAATATTCTTTTTTTTTTAATATTGAAAATTATATTTCACTATAATGATAGTTTCTTTTTAATTTAAAGGATGGAATTTTTCGATATTTCATTTTTGTTCAACAATATTAACACTAAAAAAAAGTAATAACAAAACAATACTAATTGTAATAATACTAATAGAAATAATAATAGTAGTGATAATAACAACAATAAATAAATTAATATTATTTTGTTAATGGAAAATAGAATCAATAATTTTTTTTATTTAATAAATAATAGTAAAAATAACCGTTACGTTATTATTATTATTTTATTAACGAGAAATAGAAATAATTATCTTATTCTTATTGAATAAAATAATAATTAAAATATCGAGAAGGTTATTATTTTGTTAAATAAAAATGAAATAATAGTAACAAAATAGTAATAATAACAAAAATGATAGGAATGACATTCAACAAAAATTATAACATAACAATAATAAAAATACGAATAAAAATAGAAGTAATAATACAAAATTCACTAGCAATTTATAAACACAATGTTTGAAACATTGGTCGAACTGTTTGAACTTGACGAAACAAAAGAACAAATTGTTTTTGTATATCACATTAAACGTCATAAATAATATTACATTACAGCAATTTTTCTCTAATAATTCCCGAATGTGGAACGAAGAAAGATTTAGTATCGTTTTTATAGCAAATCGAGAATTTTAAATTCACAATCAGTAAGGCATTTACTAGCTTATAAGCTCTTCATAGAGATAAAGATTGCCAAGTCAAACACTTTTTCTTCTTCTTCTTCTTCTTCTTTGTTTTCATGTTTTTTTGTCTTTTATAATAATGTACAAAGTGTCATCAGGAATAGTTCAAGGCGAATTTTATTTTTTTTTTGTTACATTTTCTATCGGTCTTTGAAGAAACTGATTTTTTTTCTGATTATCATAATAATATGTATGATATCGTAGTACCAGAATCTCATTTTCGACCCTTATTGATATATCAAAAAATTGATAACAATTTTAAACCGTTCACTTTATTATAAGTGGAATAATAAGTGATTCGTTGGTTTTCCCATATGTCTTGGCCAAATATTTTTTGGCGATTAGAAAAAATTTCATTCCGATGACATTAGTTGAACACTGTCATCTGCCGATCTGTGTAATCGACGAACTTCCGACAGGGAACGAATTGGTGTTGGATTTAGTAGAGAGAACGGATGTGAGTGTCGATCTGGAAGAAATTTTTTTTATTAGTTTTTTTTAAAGAGGAGATTATTTTTAATTTTTAATTGCAATTTTTTCGATTTAAATTTTGTTTTGCATGATTTTTTCAAGTTTTGTTTTCAATATGTGACGCTCCTTGATAAAAGGTAGTTTTAGGTTATGTTCGTTTGATGTCAGAGGGAAAAAAAGTTGTTGACAGGGGAAAAAAGGCTCGCGCAGTCGCTATGCGCCTGCGCGATTCTTTTTTCCCCTGTCAGCAACTTTTTTTCCCTCTGACAATTCAGTTTAATTTATATGAAATATAAATAAGAGAAAAAAAAAATAAAAAAAAAAATAAATAAATAAAAAAATTCAAATTGTAGGAAAATAATAAAACAAATGCATTTAGACAATTGTTTGTTAATAAAAAAAATAATAATAATTAATAAAATTCTATAAATAAAAATAAAATAAATAATGAAAATAAATTTAAATCAATAACAAGAATTAACAAGTGAACATATATTTATAAAGAAAATTAATTAACAAAAAAACAATAAATTTAAAATAAAAAAAAATTTACAATAAATTACAATAGTGAAAGTAAATTATGAATAACAAATTAAATAAATAAAAAGAAAAATTCAATAGGAACAAAAAAATGAATTCCAAATGAGAATAAAATTAAAATAAGAGTAAAAAATACAAGAAAATGAATAAAAATAAAGTAGGAAGAAAAAATGAATTCCAAATGAGAATAAAAATAAAATAAGAGTAAAAAATAAAGAAATAAGGATAAAAATAAAGGAAGAATGAAAAATGAATTCCAAATTAGAATAAAAGTAAAATAAGAATAAAAAATAAAGAAAAAGAATAAAAAAAAGGAAGAATGAAAAATAAGTAAATAAGGAATAAAGATAAATTAAACAAATAAAATATTTATCACAGGGATTTAATTATTTTTATAAGTAATAAAATTCTTTTTAGGAATTTAATTATTTTCATAAATCATAAAACTTATCGCAGAATTCCAATTATTTTTAATATAATTTTAATTGAATTCCACCAAAAATATATGTAATTATTCTTAATTTTATTAAAATTCGTCAAAAGAATATTCAATTATTTAAAAATTTGTTGATAAAATTCCTTATGAGAATTCAATTTTAAGAAATATGCAATTATTCAATAAATTACTTTTTTTGGATTTAAATAATTGAATTCTCGTAGAATTTTCTAATAAAAATTAATTTAAAAATGAATATCAGTTAAACGTTTAGATAATTTATAAATAAATAAATAAATAAATAAATAAATAATAATTAAATATTAAAAGCATTATAGAATGAATTTTCAGAAATAATTGAATTTTGAAAAGTTTTCAAATTAAAATCTTTGAAAATCTGAATTTTTCATACTTTTAACTATAACAATTTTGCAGAATTAATTTTGTTGAAAAAGTTTAATTGAATTTGTCGTGAAATTATTTGAACTTTTTTTTCTAGTACATATTTAATTGTAGAATTTCCGAATATTAGAAATTTCGTAAAATTGAATTGTATACAAATGGGCTTTAAAATTCTTAAAAAAACTTTTTCAAACATTTTCAAAAATAATTGATTTTAGAAGAATTTTTGTTAAAAATTGTAGAAAAGAATAATTAAATTGAAATGATGAGAATAATTATGATAATATAAAATAATGTGATTTTTTCACTCCATCATTTTTAATTATTATAAGTTATTGAATTTTAAAGGGTTTGAATTTGAAAATTTTGAAATTGCTAATTACTATGGAAAAATAATAATAATTAAAGATTTATTTTAAATAAAACTATTGATGTTTACGAATAATTTTATAATTAAAGAATTTGGTAAGTAATGCAATTTTTGGTTGATTCAACTAAAATTTTCTGATTAGAAATAAAAATTTTTTTTGCGAGTGTATAATAATTTATATTTATAAATAAAAATAAAAAAACTTCAAGTAATAATAATATTATTACTTAAATTATTATTTAAGGAATTGAATATCACTTAAAAATATTATATACTATAAAGACAATTAATTAACAAAAAAAAACAATAAATTTAAAATAAAAAAAAATTTATAATTAATTACAATAGTGAAAATAAATTATGAATAAAACATTAAATAGGTATATAAGAAGAAAAATAAAATAGGAACAAAAAAATGAATTCCAAATGAGAATAAACTCAAAATAAGAGAAAGAAATAAATAAAAATGAATAAAAGTAAAGTAGAAAGAAAAAAGGAATTCCAAATGAGAATAAAAATAAAATAAGAGTAAAAAATAAAGAAATAAGAATAAAAATAAAGGAAGAATGAAAAATAATTAAATAAGGAATAAAAATCAATTGAAATTGAAATTATCGAAATACAGTTTAAAAATAAATTATAACAATGAAAAAATAATGCAAAAAGTACAAAAATACGATCGACTTGAAAAAGAAATTAAATATAAATATCTTACCAATAAAATAAAAATAAAAACTTTTCACGTCACAAATGATTATATATTGAAATATATCGAATTATATTAAATAATATTTATTTATTTATTTAAGTCTCAGCCCTCTCATTCAGTATATTGAAAAATACTGAATTAGATAATTAATTAATTATATAATATAGTATAAGAATTAAGTTCTATTTCCTAAATAATAAAAGTTTCTTTATATTTCTTCCCTTTGTATAAAAATTAAACTTTTTTTATTAATTTTCCCACAAATTGTTTCTTTCTCTATTTTTCGTGCTGATGTAAGTTTATTGTGTTATTATTAAAAAAAAATAAATAACAATTGAACAAGAACTTACGGTCAAAGAGCTTTATAAATTGTGTCGATATTTTTCGATGATAATGATGATAATAATAATAATAATAATAATAATACTTATAATTAATTAGTTTGTTTTATATAACAATAATGGGAAATTAATCACACTCTGATGAATATTGTATACGAGAGCTAATTGCTATTTATTTTCTATTGTTTATCGATAGAAAGGCCTTTTATATTAGAAATGTGAATAACTGACAATTCAGTGTGCAATTCCCATCAGAACACAATGACTGGATCAATAAATATTTCCTATTGCGCTGATTCATGTATACTTGAAAGAAAGTTTTAATTAATTATTCTTTATGAAAACTTTTTATAATTATTATTCTTTTTTCTCTATGCATAATATATACAGAATATTCAAATAGTACAATAATTTATCAAGTATTTAAATTAGGTATTTCAAATGTGGAGGAATTTTTTATTTAAATTTGAAACGAAATTTATTTATTTCTTTTTTGTTGTTTTTTTTCTCTTCTTTATTATGAATACTATTTTTTTATTTTAATGTTCTAAAGTTAGAGCTTTTTAATTTTCCCGTATAAACTTTTTATAAAATGTAAATTATGCAATGGAACAAAATAAAAGAAAAATCACATCGACTGTACAGTTTTCGTTAAATGAAATTCTTATTCCATTACTTTTTTTCGCAAAATTTTCATTTTATAAAAACTTTATTCGAAGAAATTTAAACCGTCAGATATTGAAAAGCTTTACGACTTATAAATTTATACCAAGAAATATAAAAATTGTCCATTTTTCGATTAAGTTTTTCAATGCCAAAAATTTGTCTCTAATTCGTATAACCATTTTGAAAAAATAATTCTTCAATGAATTATTTTAATCCTCAATGAATTAAAGCGCTGCAAGTTATTTTAAAATCCATTTTACTGAATTAAAATAATATTTCACAATTTTCCGTAATAACCGCGCGAGGTGTCAACAAAATCCTTTTTCTGAATATAAAATTCCGAATTAAAATTTGCGCTTGCTATTTTGAAAAAGAATTGTGCTATTTGGATTAAAATTCTGTACATAATATATAGAGTACTTTGAATTGGTCCAAATTGATGTAAGTGGACTTTTATTGATAATCGAAGAATTATATTCCTCTCTGACAATGCCCAATTTTAGACAAAAGAAGTTAATTTATTCGTGTTAAAAATAAGGAGATCGATGGAGCGTGTTATAAGTTGGCTTAGGAAGGTCAAGGACGTCCACTTCTTTTGATAATATATATGCATAGAAAACTTGTTTCGGAAATGGCCCTTTTAGCTGCAGCATCATCTTATTAATTATATAATCCCAATATATGAAAGATATATCTTCATTTCTCCACTTTTAAATTGAATTCGAAAATTGAGAATCATGTCGAGAATATTATGATGTTCCCCGTAGAAATAAACTCATCGTATTTATAATATAATATAATGCAGAGGATGAAATTCGAATCATGCATGTGTAGCGAGAAATTAGAAATTATCTATGACGAAAAAAAGGAAATTTTAGTCGCAGTCTCTTTGGATGGACAAAATGTCTTTTAGCAAAATTATTATAATTATTATACAAAAATTATTATAATTGTTTATATTTATTATAAATTATTATACACACAGAAAAAATATATTTGACTCAGAGTCCAACTAAACTTTTTGCTTGTTTCAAATTTTTATTTGGTTCAACTTCAAAAATAAAAGTTTATTAAGTTCGAAAAAAAGTTTTTATTTGTACTAAATGAGTTTTATTTGAAACGAGTAAATAATTTAGTAGGCTCTGAAATAAATATATTACATACTTTTATTTAAGTCAAATAAATTTTTTCTCTAAGTGTAATATTAATAAATTATTATAATTTCTTGTAATGTTGTAACTTGTAATTATATATAATTGTAATACCTATTTATAATTATACACTCAAAGAAAAAATTTAAATTAACAAAATTAAATTAAAAAAATTTAAACTAAATGTAAAATTTTCTTAAAAATGTCAATTATTTTTTGAAATTAATAAAATTCTTCTTCGAAATTCAATAATTTGAATAAAAATTCTTAATAAAATTCTTGTCAAAATTTCAATTATTTTCTTAAACTTTTCAAAAGAATTGAATTGTTTAAAAAAAAGAATTTTTTTAATTCTATACTCCAAAATTTAATTATTTTCATAATCATAAATAATAAAAATTTCACAGGAATTCAATTCCTTAGAAATTTTATATAAATTTCTTCGGAATAATTCAATTATTTTCAAAAATAATAACATTTTTCACAAAGATTTAATTATTTTTTATACGTAATAAAATTCTTTTTAGGAATTCAATTATTTTCATAAAGAATAAAACTTATCGCAGAATTTCAATTTTTTTAATATAATTTTAATCGAATTTCACAAAAGAAATGTAATTATTTTTAAAAATTGTATTAAAATTCGTTAAAAGAATATATAATTAATTAACTTATTTTGTTTTAGAAAAAGAAGAAAAATATTTGCAAAATTCCTATTTTTAATCTTATTTTTGTAACGGGATTTTCCACAGGAATTAAGACATTCAAAAATTTCGAATTCAAACCTTTTTGAAATTAAAAAATTTATAAAAGTATTTTTTATAAAATAAAATAAAATAATTTTCTAATAATTAAAGATGACCGAGAGATAAAATCATTATATTATAAAAATATTGTTACTGTAACTTCATCAAAATTATTTTCATCATTTTAATTCAATTATTATTTTCTAGAATTTCAAATGATTTTTTATGAAAATAATTGAATTCCTTAAAAAAATTGTAACATTTATAAAAATAATTGAATTCCTGTGAAATTTTTATTATTCATGAAAATAATTAAATGTTTGCATACCTGCAATTATATTAGAAATTTTTTTAAATCATTGAACTTTTTTTGGGAAATTTTATTAAAATAGTAGATATTGAAAATCATTGAAATTAGAAAAATTTTTGAAAATCATTGAAATTAGGACAAGAATTTTTTTCAAATTTATGAAAATAGTTGAACTTTGGACAAGAATTTTATTTTTTATAAAGATAATTGGAATTTTTTTCAAATTTTGAAAATAGTTGAATTTTTTTTTTTTTTAATAATTGAATTTCTGCAAATATTTGTAATTTCTCCAAAATTGAAATTTTTTTAGTGTTTTCAACAAAAATTGAAATTAGAAAATTTTTTAATTCTATTATTTTTAAAATTGTTAACTTTATTTAAAAAAAGGTAGAAAGAAGTTGCTAGTTATTTAAAAATTTGTTGATAAAATTCTTTATAAAAATTAAATTTTAAGAAACATTTAATTATTCAATAAATTATTTTTTTTTGTATATTTAAATAATTGAATTCTCGTAGAATTTTCTAATAAAAATTGATTTAAAAATGATTTTCATTTAAAAGTTTAGATAATAATTGAATATTGAAAGCATTATAGCATGAATTTTCAGAAATAATTGAATTTTGAAAAGTTTTCAAATTAAAATCTTTGAAAATTTGAATTTTCCATACTTTTAACTAACAATTTTGTAGAATTAATTTTGTTGAAAAAGTTGATTTGAATTTTTTTAAAAAATTATTTGTACTTTTTTTTAGTACCTATATATTTAATTGTAGAATTTCCGAATATTAGAAAGAAAGAAAGAAAGAAAGAAAGAACTTTTTCGAAAATTTTCAAAAATATTTGAATTTAGAAGAATTTTTGTTTGAAATTTTAGAAAATAATAATTAAATTGAAATGATGAGAATAATTTTGATAATATAAAATAATGTGATTTTATCACTCCATAATTTTTAATTATTATAAGTTATTGAATTTTAAAAGGTTTGAATTTGAAATTTTTGAAATTCTGAATTTCTATATGGAAAAATAATAATGATTAAATATTTATTTCAAATAAAACTATTGATGTTTTCGAAAAATTTTATAATTAAAGAATTTGGTAAATAATACATTTTTTTGTTGACTCAACTAAAATTTGCTGATTAGAAATAAACTTTTTTCTGCGAGTGTATAATAATTTATAATTACACGGAGAGAGAATATATATTAAATTTTGTGAAAGTATTTTACAAATAGGGGAAAAAGTGCAAAATTTCGATATAGAAATACTAAATTTTAAAAAGACTTATGTGAAATTTAGTAAAGTTACATTAGAATTTAATAAATATTCCTGATATTCAATAGGTATAATTACTTATACTAAATTTTACATAATTTTTTGCAAGTTTAATATTTTTTATATAAAAATTTCGATTTGTCGCATTTTTCTCCCAATTTGTTTATATCATTTTTACAAAATTTAATATATATTCTTCCTCCTATAAATAGGAATATAATTAACAATAACTTCAAGTAATAATAATATCATTACTTCATTACTTAAATTATTATTAAATGAATTAAATATTACTTAAAAGTTTTATATTAAAGATGTTTGAGATTTGTAATTGTAATAATTAAATTTGTTTCAAATGGAAAAGAATGCACTTTTAGAAAAATAAATTTTAAAACAATTCGACAAATTTATGGAAAAAAATGGATTTTTAGATAAAATTGACTAATTATGATTTAATATGAGTTTGACTATCTTTTTTGTATTAATTTTCTGAATTACCTCTTATGTCTGTAGGTGGATCACTTCTCACTTCAATTTCGCTGCTGTGTCTGGCTGGGGTTTTCGGTGGACTCTTGAAAATAGTTGAAGAGTCACTTCTACCGCTATTATTTTGATGTGAAAAATGGAACATAGGCGTAGTTGACCATGAGGCAGGTGGAGGACTTCTAACCAGATGCTCGTGTACTTGTGCTAAGGTAAGTGGATCCGTATCTCCTAATTCCTGTGAGAAGTTGAGAAATTTTCAGTTTTTTTTTTCATTTTTGATATTTCGACTCGAACAATTATTTTTGTTCCCAATTTTTATTTAATCATTTTTCAAAAATTATTATTACTCTCTTTTGCAGTAAAATTTAATTTAGAAGGAAAAAAGCAAAAAATCATCGTTTATTTGAACTCTTGAAATATTTACTATTTCCATAATAAATTATTATATTGAATTCGTATTTTAATTTTATTGAATTTTTTTATTAAATCTTTTTTCGATTTAGTTAAATTTACTCCGAATGAAATAAGCAGAAAATCGTCGTTTATTTAAACTCTTGGAATTTTTCCTATTTCCATACATAATAAATTTTATTGAAATCTTATTTTAATTTTATTGAATTTCGTTTTAGTAAATCTTTTTTCGATTTAGTAAAATTTACTTTGAACGTAGTTTTCTAGTTTCTACTGAAAACTTGTTTAAAAAACTAAGTTTTTACATTTTTACAAAAAAAAAAAAATCTCTGGTAAACTAGTTTTACTTTGCAAATAGTAAAAGTTATACTTTATACTTTATAACAGTGTAAAAAAGCAAGAAAAAATTTATTGCGAACTTTTTTCAACACTGGAGAGAAAAATAATATAAAAACTCTTTTTAATTATTAACGATTAAAAATTCTCTTATATAATATTTTTCTTCCGAAATGAATAAAATTTTGGATTTTCGACATTTATTGGAAATTCTCGCAGTTAATTTAGTTTAACGAGGGCATTTCGTGACTTTAATGATGAAGCTCTGTCTCTCCCTACTCTCTGCTATATAGAATTATATTGGCTATTGATTGGCTTAGACCCTATGTAAGCCTTCGGGTCTCAGATTTCTCTCGCAATATTATATTATTATTATTTAATAGATTTATGATTATTGATTTTGGAATTATCATTTTAATTATTAATCAAGGTAAATTAGTTCAACCTGTGCCATCAGTATTGCGTCGTCGGACTCTGATTCCTCTATTGACTCGACTAGATTTTCTCGACTCGCCAGAACCTGAAAAAGTTGAGGAGAAAAATTTTGTTATATATTCTCTTCAAGTATTGGGTGAAATCAAGAAAATTTCTTTTTGATTTTATTAATCAGAAAAATATTTTTTTAACTAAAGTTTTATACAATATCAATATAAATATGTATTAATATATAGATATAAAATTATATTTTTTGGATATGTGATTAATTTAATAATTTAATATTTTAATGACATTTAAATTGATAGGTAATAACGGTTTTATTCCACTGATAGAAATTACAGATATTCTAAAGATATCAAATTGAGACAAAAAACGTATCAAAACGTTGCTTCGTAACTATTTTGATACGTTTTTTGTCTCAATTTGATATCCTTAGAAAAACTGTGTAATATAACTTTTTTTTGCTATTAGTAGAAAAGGTCTGTTTCGGTAAGACAAAAATATCCAACTCTTTAGATTTTTGCAGGGGAAATGGTCAATTTTAGTCAGACGAAATATAAAAACCTTTTAATTTTTCTGTTAGTGAAAAAAGACAGTTAACGTCAGGCAGAAAATATATTGAGTTTTGTTGGTTTTGCTATCAGTAGAAAAGGTTTTTTTCAGTAAGACGAAAAATTCTACTTTCCTTGTATTTTAGCAGTAGATATAGTCAATTATAGTCAGAAAATTGATAAAAATCCTGTTATTTTCTAATTAGTAGGAAAAGACATTTTTGTTGTCCCGAAAATATTATATTCTGGTTACTTTGCTACTAGTAGAAAAGGTATGTTTTCGTCAGACAAAAAATATTCAATTTCGTTGATTTTGATGCCGATAGAAGAGTCCTGAATTAATGAGACAAAAAATATATAATTCTTTATAATTTAGCAGTAGAAAAAGTAAATAATAGCCAGACAAATTATAAGAAATCTGCCATTTTTTAAGTAATAGAAAATACAATTTTGGTCAGGCAGAATATATTAAATTCGGTCGATTTTGCTACCAGTAGAGAAGGTCAGTTTTAGTCAGACAAAAATATTGAATTTTTTCTATTTTAACAGTAGGTAAAGTCTATCATAGCCAGACAAATAAAAAAAAATGTGAATTTTTCCACAAGTAGAAAAAGGCATTTTTCGTCAGACAGAAAATATGTGAATTTTACTACCAATAGAAAAGGTCTATTTACGTAAGACAAAAAATATTTAATTCTTTGTATTCCAGCAGTAGATAAAGTTTGTTTTATTCAGACTAAAGAAACAAAACTCTCACATTTCTCTACAAGTCAAAAAATAGAATTTTCGTCAGTCAAAAATATTAAATTCTATTAATTTTGCTACCGCAGTAGAAAAACATGTTTTAGTCAGACTATATTAATTTCCTTCGATTTTACTTTAAGTAAAAAATACCATTTTTCGCCAGGTCTGAAATATTAAATTCTGTTGAAAGTTTCTCCCAGTAGAAAAATCATGTATTAGTCAGCCAAGATACAAATTTCTTTCGTTTTTACCCTAAGTAAAAAATATCATTTTTCGTCATGCCTGAATTATTAATTTCTATTGATTTTGACATGAGTAGAAAAGGTCAGGTTTTTTCAGACTACTTACTAGAAATTATTTCTGTTTTTGCAAATAGTAGAGAAAAACAATTTTAGTGAGACAAATTCCTTTGTTTCCTTATCATTCATTTTGTGATAAGTAATGAAAAATTTTTTTTGAGTCAGATAAAATGTGAATTTACATTGATTGTTTTTAATAGAGTAAAAGTAAAAGTGCGTTCAAGGAAAAAGGAAATTGTAACGGCCAAAATGACTTGCAAATTCTTGAAATTTTGTTATCAGTAGAGAAAGTATGTCAAGGTTGGACAAAATGTTTCCGCTTAGTTGTAATATTATGACAAAATGTAAAGGATACTAGAAGCTCGATATAATTTGCTATTGTTTTCAAAACAGGAAAAAAAGCAATTTTTAGTCAGACAAAGTGTTTTTTTACTTATCATTTTATTATCAGTAGGTAATGAAATTATGGAACAGACAAATTAATTTTATTTTGATTTTTATAAAAGAAATCATAAGTATTTGAAGAAAAATTGTAATTTTATTTTAATAAGTAGTGTAAGAAAGTTATTCCTAGACAAAATAATAATTCCTTTTAATTTTTAAGAAGAAAAGTTAGTTTTTAGTCGGAAGAAAGTTTTTTCTGGACAAAATGGTAATTTCTTGGAATTTTTAAGTAGAAAAGTCAATTTTTAGTCAGACGGAAGTTTTTATAAGTTAGTACAGTATTTACAGATCAGCAATAAAAGTGTATTGCAACCATTTTTTGCAAATTTTGGTAAAATTTGGTATTAGTAGTACAAGTCAGTTACAGTCAGACACTGATTATCGAATATTCTCGAACACTTTTTATTTTATTATCAGTTAGTAATAGTAAAAAAAATTTCTTCTTTCTATTTTAGGGTCAAATAGGTAGACAAATCTTGTGAGTTTTATATTAGTAGCAAAAGGGATTTACAGTCAGAATAAATTTATATAAAATTGTTTTTTCTTGTTTCTTAGTAAAAAATGTGAGTTTCATTCAGACAAAAACATTTGACTTTTTGTCATTTGAGAACAAATAAACAAGAATCAACTGTCGACAAATTATAGTAAATTTCTTTTTTTGTATTTGTAGCAGTAGAAAAAGTGAGTTTTAATCAGATAAATTATTTTTCCTTCTTGATTTTCTTTGTCATTTCAGAACAAATAAACAAGAATCAACTGTCGACAAAAAAGTGAGTTTTAGTCAGACAAATTATTTTTCATTCTTAATTTTGTTGCAGAAGTAAAAAAAATTTCCAAACTATGTTTTAGTCTAAATTCATTTTTATTTTTCTCGCAGTAGTGCCAGTCAGTCTCGATCAGACAGTATAAAAGTCGATTTATTTTGGGCTTAGCAGTAAAAGTAGTTTTTTGTCAGACATTGTGAAATTCGTAATAAATTAGTAGCAAAAGTACGTTCATGTCAGACAATATAAACTTTAATCATATACCTAGTAGTAAAAGTCCGTTTCTGTGAAACAACAAATAGTTCGTTTAGTTTGTTATTTAGTAGTGGATGGTAAAATTTTTGTCGGACATTTTTTTAATCAATAGAATAGAAAAATGGATTTTCCAATTTCTCAGTAGTAAAGGTTATTTACAATCAGACAGAACATTTAAATTTTTGTTGTAGTAGAAAAAGAGCATTCTAGTCAGACGAAGCTTATTATTTTTGGCAACAGTAGCAAAAGAACGTCTCAGTCAGACAAAACAGCTTATTTTTGCCAAAAGTGGAAAAGAACGTCTCAGTCAGACAAAACAGTTTTTTTTTCCAGAAGTAGAAAAAGAACGTCTCAGTCAGACAAAACAGTTTATTTTTGTCAAAAGTAGAAAAAGAACGTCCTGATAGGACGAAACTTATTACTTATGTCATCAGTAGAAAAAGAACGTCCTGATAAGACGAAGCTTATTACTTATGTCATCAGTAGAAAAAGAACGTCTCAGTCAGACAAAACTCGTTATTTTTGGCAACAGTAGTAAAAGAATATCCTAGTCAGACAAAACAATTTTTGAATATTCTTCTAATTTCAGTACAATCAGTAGTGAATTACACTTTTAGTCAGACAATTTTCTAAATTCGTTACATTTTTCTATATGAGTAGTAAAATACAATTCGAGTCAGACAAGGGCGGAAAATTTTAGCATAGAATTTTTTCCATTACTTTATTATTGAATTGCTAATGAAATATCGTTATTCCAATTTAAATAAAATAGATTGAAAATTGTGTATTATTCAATAAAAAGAGTTTATTGCCAAATTTTTGGACAATATTTTCGGAATTTATTGGGAAAAAGAAAGAAAAATTGCAATTTTCACCTGGAGAAATGGATTGTCCTGGCGACTGAGCCTTAAGGCTTCCATGTCCTGGTCGATGTTACGAGTCCTTCCGGGGGTCAATGTCAGGATCGAATGAGACGGTGAAGGCTGGCAGGCAACAACGACATCCACGGCCGTCACACTTAAGGTCGAGGGAATTCTCGACACCACATTGTCAATTTCGTTTCCACTTCGCCGACAAACATTCGTGATAACGGCTGAAATTTTATGACACATATATATAGCAACACAAATCTTTATTATTTACGAGTTTCATCACGCTTGGCAAATTAATCACACTTGACTATTCATAAATGCAGATTACTATCGCGAATAAGTAATATATACAGAGGTGTGAAAATATTCTCTGAAAATTTGCTATTTAGGAAAATTGTGATATATTTCTTTTACATAGTTTTTTATTTTTTTTATTCTTTTTATATTCTCTTCATTTATTTTCTATTTTTCGTTTTTTGAATTATTCACATTTTTTTATATTTTAGTTTTTTTCGTTGGTAATGGAAATATTGAATTATTTAGAAAACGTGACAAAGGATATTTTTGCATCAAAGTATATCTAATAATTTATTTATTTGTTACGAAATAGATTTTATTTATTTTAGAAAAGAAATTTATTCAGTCTGGAAAAAATGTTATTTTTGAAAAGTACATTTTTTATTTACGGGAAATAAATAATAATACATTTTTTTAAAATTAATTTTTCATTTGAAACAAATGATGTAAATAGGTTTGTAGACCCTTAGACTTTTAATTGAGTCAAATAAAAATTCTATTCAACTCAAATAAAACATTTCTCACGATAGACTTGAACGATCAAAAGTATTATAAGGTCACTGTATTTTATTTATTTATAAATACAAACTTCTGCAAAACAAAGTTTATGTCTGCAAGTACTCATTATATTAATAGACTATGAGAAAACAAAATATACAATTTTCCTCGTATATGTAAATGAAAAAATAAAATACTTCTTGTATTGTCTTTGACGTTATCAGATTGACCCTAATCGACTTAGACTCTGTTAGGGTTTGTCTATATATTAAAAAATATGCATAAAACATATGAAAAAAGTGTGAGTGATAGACTTTTTTTTTGGTCTATTCTTTTTTTTGGATAAATAATATACATTCTTTTATCTGGACACTATTTTGTATCTGAGATAGAAAAAAATCGATTTTTTTATAGCCATCCGAATGATGACGGCTTCTCATTTTTTTTTATTTTATGACCAAAAGTTTTATAGGTCACACTTACACACAAACACACACACATTGTGTGTGTATACAAATAAATAATTTGTTTCTCTTTTACGACCTACTTTTCATGTATATGAAAGCATTACTGCTTTTTTCATACATATAAAAATTTATTTCGTTTGCCATTAATATTTATGATAAATGAAACCCATTTGTGGAAAATTTACCTTTCGAGTATAAATATTAATGGTAGTTAAATAGAAAAAATACAAAGTATATATTTTTGCGCAAAAGAAAGGGGCATAATATATATATATATATATATATATATATATATATATATATATATATGTTGAGTAAAAGTCATTAAAATTGCTTATTCAGTGAAATGAAAAATTTAAAATGGGTTTGTATTTAAAGTTTGAACTCGCGTAGGAGGATCTATAATATTAAATGTATTAAATGTTAAATTAAGATTTTTTACCGAATTGTTTTTTTTACCGAAAATTTTTTTTCCTAGCGTCGTTTTAAATATTTCAAAAAATATTCGAAATTCAATTATTTTTTTTTTAATATCTAGTATTTTCATAAAACTTCGCAAAACAATTGAATTACTTAAAAAAAATTGATAAAATTTATCCAAAATTCAATTATTTTCATAAATAATAAAATTTCCACCAATTAATTTATTTAGAATAGCATTTTTCAAAAAAATTACGAAAAAATCAATTATTTAACAAAATTTTTTACACAATTCTTCACAATAATTCAATAATAACATTTATCATGGAAATTCAATTTTCTAAAAAAATTGATAAAATTCTAAGCAAGAATTCAATTATTTTCATAAGTAATAAAACTCATTGCAGAATTTCAATTACTTTTAATACTATTTTTAATTAATTAATCGAAAAATTCAATTATTTTCACAAATAAAATTCTTCACAGGAATTCAATTCTTTAAAAAATTTTTGAATAAAATTCGTTGCAAGAATTCAATTATTTTTATAAATAACAAAAGCTTAGGGGTCGTCCATATACCACGTGGACAGTTTTTCAAAAAATTTTGACCCCCCCTCCCCCCTTGTGGACACAAAAATACATGGGATCGTGGACATTTTCAAACTTTTTTTAACCCCCCCCCCTCCCCCCAAAAGTGTCCACGTGGTATATGGACGACCCCTTATGGCAGAATTTCAATTATTTTTTATACTATTTTAAATTAATTAATCGAAAAATTCAATTATTTTCAAAAAATTAAATTTCTTCTTGGAAATTCAATTATTTTCTTGTATTGGTATACTGAGAAATTCAATTATTATTCAATAAAATTTGAAAAAAATTCTTCACAAGAAATTAATTATTTTCATAAATAATATTATTTTTCTCCGGAATTCAATTATTTTCACAAATAAAATTCTTCACAGGAATTCAATTATTTTTATAAATAAAAAAAGCTTATGGCAGAATTTCAATTATTTTTTATACAATTTTAAATAAAATGATAGAAAATTGCATTTATTCTTAAAATTCTTTTTTAAATTTACCAAAAGAATTCAATTATTCTTAAAAATTTTGTTAAAATTCTTCATAAAAATTTAATTTTAAGAAATAATCAATTATTTAATAAATTATTTATATTTTGTATTTAAATAATTGAATTCTCGAAAAATTTTCTAATAAAAATTGATAAAATAATGAATTTTACTTAAAATTTTTAATTATAATTTGAATATTAAGAGCATTGTAGCGTGAATTTTTAGAAATAACTGAATTTTGAAAAGGATTCAAAATTAAAATCTTTGAAAATTAGTTACAGTTATTTTCTTTTTTTAAATTAATAATTAATAATAATTAATTAATTTTAATTTGTAAAATTAAATTAAATTTTTTAATTTAATAAAAATAACATATTTTAATTAAATAATTTTATTTTGTATTTAAATAAAAGTGCTGCAGTTTATTTGTATCTAACACGATTTTCTGAGTCACTTACACTGGTAATCAGATAAAAAAATCAAGAATTGTCTGAAAAAAAATATCTCAAAAAGACAAAATTTAATATTGTCTGTCGTAAAAGAATTTTACTACTGAAAGTAAAGCACTTTTAATTTAATTTAACTTTACTTAAAATAAGGTTTTCTTATTATATTTGTGATTTAACAGTTTTTTCAAATTGGTAATGAAAAATTTAATACTTCGTAGAAAAATTAGTCATTTATTTCATTAAATTTTTGAGATAAATAAATTGTTAGATATTAATTTAAAATTATTTGCGTTTGAAATTATTAATTTAAAATTATAAATTAAAAATGTAATTTAAAATTATTAATTAAAATTATTAATCATAAAATACTGATATGAGTTTAAAAAAGTATTCTTTATTTATTTGTTTACTTTTTTTTTGTAATTGAAATTATTCACTAAATCGGAAAAGCTCTCTATCGAGAGGCAAATAGCACTTTTAATTATTATATAAAAACCAGCGTTGAAAATTGAAAACGAGTGAGTTGATTGAATTTTTCTTGTGATGAGAGTATAGAGAATATTTTTTTTCCTCCTTAATCGGATGACCTTTTTATTTATACTCAAAGGGAAATAAAAAAAATTTTTCTATCATTATAAAGTAAAATGAAATACTATTATTTAGATAGTTTATTTTTGTAGTTATTAATACTAATATTATTTCAATTCAATTTAATCTTGTTTTGATTTAATTTTTTAAATGGTAAATTTTAACTAATTTAATTTTCATAATTTAATTGTTTAAATCTTTAAATATTTACTTTTTAAATTACTCACTTTTTTTTAAATCTAAATTTTATTTTCAAATTTAATTAAGCACTTTTTAAATTACCATCAAAATTATTGTTTAAAATTTTAAAGATTTAATTGCACTTAATGCTTGATTTAATTAAATTTTTTTTCAATGTTTAAGTGTTTAAAATAGTTGAGAAAGTTAAGAAAATAAAAAAGATTTTCTCACCTGGAGTTTCGACTCTCGGGGCTCGTTCCATCGTCTCATTCGTGTTGATCTTCATTCCTAGAGTCAATGTTTTCGTTTTAAATAAATTCGCCAAGAAAATTGCACCCTTACGTTTTATTTTCTCGAGTCTTTGTGCATTCGCGGAGGACACGTGTATCATTACTATTTTTCTACAATTAAAAAGCTCCATGAGCCTTATTTCAAAATGGCAAAAAAAAAAAATTATCTAATTTCTTAAAAAAAATTCTTTTAATTTTCTTTTAGTATCTATTTTATTTCCTATTTTATTTTCTTTTACTTTCTTCAGTTTTTTTTCTATTTTCTATTCTATTTACTTTTTTTATTCTCTTTTTCTTTCTTTTATTTTTTTCTTCAATTTTCTATTTCAAATTTTTTTGTTTTCTTTTCTTTTATGTACCTTCTTTTATTTTCTCCAATTTTCTATTTTTAATTCTTTTGTTTTCCTTTCTTTTAGTTTCTATTAGTTTTTTTTTATTTTCTTCTATTTTCAGTTTAGTCTTCTTCTTTTTTACGTTCTTTTATTTTCTTGTATTTTCTATTTTCTTTTGCTTCCTTGTCTTTTACTTTCTATTATTTTCCTCTATTTTCTGTCTTCTTTTCTTTTACTTTCTTTTATTTTCTCCAATTTTCTATTTTAAATTCTTTTCTTTGCTTTTCGTTTCTTTTATTTTCTTCTCTTTTTTATTTAGACTTCCTGTCTTTTACCTCCTTTTATTTTCTATTTTCTTTTGTGCTTTCTTGTCTTATAGTTTCTTTTATTTTCCTCTTTTTTCTATTTTTCTTTTGTGTTTTTTCTTTTACCTTCTTTTTTTCTTTAATTTTCTATTTCAAATTCTTTTGTTTTCTTTTCTTTTATGTACCTTCCTTTATTTTCTCCAATTTTCTATTTTTAATTCTTTTGTTTTCCATTCTTTTAGTTTCTTTTAGTTTCTTTTAGTTTTTTTTATTTTCTTCTATTTTCAATTTAGTCTTCTTCTTTTTTACCTTCTTTTATTTTCTTGTATTTTCTATTTTCTTTTTCTTCTTTGTGTTTTACTCTCTTTTATTTTTCTCTATTTTCTCTTTTCTTTTCTTTTTTTACTTTCTTTTATTTTCTCCAATTTTCTATTTTAAATTATTTTCTTTGTTTTCGTTTCTTTTATTTTCCTCTATTTTCTATTTTTCTTTTGTGTTTTTTCGTTTACCTGCTTTGTTTTCTTCAATTTTCTATTTTAAATTTGTTTGTTTTCTCTTACTTTCTTTTATTTTATTTTACTGTATTTTCTAAAATTTTGTATCTTCTTTCCTTTTCTCTTTTGTTTTTTAATTTTTTCTTTTTTTTCTATTTTATTTTCCTTACTTTCTATTATTTTTAAATTTGTTTCTTTTATTCTATTTGATTCTATATATTTTTTGTTTTTTGTTTTCTTTCATTTACCTTTAAAATTCACTTTTATTTTCTTATATTCTTTTTTATTTTCTTTTATTCCTTTTTATTTTCATTTATTCCTTTTTATTTTTTCTATTTTCTTCTATTTTCTTTTATTATCTGCCATTTTTCTTTATTCCCTATTATTTTTTTCTATTTCTTTCTATTTCTTTCTATTTCCTTCTATTTTCTTTTATTATCTGCTATTTTCTTTTATTCCCTTTTCCTCTCTTTTATTCCCTTTCCATTTTTTTATTTCTTTTTATTCTATTTTACTCCTTTTTCTTTTCTTTTATTTTTTTCTCTTATTTCCTTTTATTCTATTATATTCTCTTTTATTTCCTTTTATTCTCTTTTATTCCCTTTTATTCTTTGTTATTCACTTATTTTCTTTCCCTCTTTATTGCTCTTTATTTCCCTTTAAAAAAAGAAGAAAAAAATAATTTTTTACGTCTAAAAAAAATGTTACCACACGCTTATTCTTTTTTTAAAAAATTCTTTCAACTATGAAACAAGCTGACACCTGTTTGGTACTTCACAAATTGAATTTCCTAGAAAATTAACATTTATTCTCTCCTGCGATCGATAAACTCGCAATTTGTCCAAGTTCCGGTTTTTATTTTTTTTTCTTTCTTTGAATAACACAGGAAATGAATCAAGATTGGCAATTTGTTGACGATATAACGAATCAACCGGCACTAGGGATGCTACTGCAGGTGTCGAGTTTTGCTCCAGGGTTGAATATATTCTCCTTTTTCCCTCCTTGTCACTATTTCTCTTTCACCTCCGCAGGACTTTGCGCAGTTGCAAGGATCGAACTTATATAGCGAACAATCAACCCCTGCAGGAATATAATCCCGGTATGCGTCTAGCAAGTCATGGCCGAATGACTGTCTTTTGTAAAATAAATTATTTAAGAAGGTTACTCGACTTTTTTTGACACTCGATTTTAATGAAAAAAAAAAGGAGGAAAGAGGAAGTCGAATTTCCCTCCTGACCTACATCGACATATATATATATTTATTACGAAAGCGACGAAATGAAAAATTTTTGGCGAGAGGGTGCATTTCATTGTCACGATCTGATAAGCAATTGATTTATAAATATATACGTTTCCCTCTCGATACTCATTGTGTATTTGCTTTGTAGTAAATTTGTCGTATTTTTCTTTCCCCGTCTGTACTTTCGAATTGATTGATGATTCTCTAGCGTTATAATTTTATTATGATTCTTGATAGAGAAATTAATTTATCGTCTAGACAGTGAATTCAGGGAAAATAGAGATTTTACTCAAAAATAGTTGTAGATTTTACTATTTTAGAGAAATTTTTTGTTTCTTCGATTAATACTTTGGAGAAATTAATAATATTCGGGATTTATGTCAAATGCTCTGAGTCAAATATTTTTTTTCATTTCACACACTCAGAGAAAAATAATATTTGACTCAGAGCCAACTATACTTTCTATATTTTGTTTCAAAGAAATTTTATTTGGTTTAAATAAACTTTTTCTCTGGGTGCTATAGAATAAATTATATTCTTTAATATTCATTTACAATTTACAATTACAATTTATTTAATTAATAAATTATAAATAAATAATAAAATAAATTAATAAATTATATTGTTTTATTATTTTATTGAATTGTTTATAAATAAATTCTTTAGAAATAAAATCTTCTACAGAATTTTCCGAGACAAATTATTAATCAAAGGCAAATTTTATTTACACCAAATATAATTTAATTGAGTTGAATAAAAGTATATCTTTTGATTCAGAGCCAACTAGACTTTTTATTTATTTTGAATTTCATTTCGTTCAAATATATATTATTTGATTCAAATAAATGTATTTGTATCGAATGAAATTTGTATTTTAAACAAATAAATAATCTAGTACATTCTAAGACAAATATAATTTAATTAACTCAAATAAATTATATTTTGTTCAAGTAAAACTTTTCTCTGGGTGTAAAATTTATAAAAGATATAATTTACAAAGCATATAATATTTATAAACAATACAATAGGTATTATAAAAAATTATTATTTTGTTATTCTTATTCATGAACACTAGAAATATATTTCGGAAAGAATATAATATTTACTGTACTAAAATTCTATAGTTAGAAGAAAAGAATTTTTTTCGATTTCAGAAGAAAATTTCTACTAGTTACTTGACTCACGCTAGAAACAAATCGATCATGATACACCCTCTCTTCGTATAAATGATCATCGTGGTTTGTAAATGCCTTATTCCTCTTTTGGAAGGGGAAAACTTACTATTCAAGGCCAATGAATGATGCGAGATCGTCCATTTCTTCCGGGTTCATGCGCGAAAAAAAAAAAATTTTCTATTCCCCACAATATATTATTGGAGTGAATTTTTTTCTTTTTTGCGATCTTTCCTTTTTCCAGAGGAAATTTTTCCTGAACCGATGGAAGAAAATTGTGAGTTTTCACATTGTGGAGTCACTGGGTTCGCGCATTTACTTCACGGTCAACACACAGTGAATACTGTGTGTTTAGAGGAGTACACGACGCGAAATGTTCACCCTCGACTTCTTTTTTTCTTTTCTCTCTCCACCTTGGGAGGGTTGCGCGCGCAAATAGGTCAAAATTAACCCTCTTCGTGCGAGGGAGAGCAAGAGGGATGGTGAGTGAGAGAAAGGGGAGGGGGGCAATGGGCATTTGTATATTATATATATATTATTAGGTATATATGAGACGATTTTGGGATGCGAAATGTGCAGGGTTAATGGGCATTAGAATTAGAGGTCACTCTGCCAACAATCAATGGACGAATACTTGTCCACTATTACATGGATGGACTCGGGGCGCACTTGTTGAAGAGAGTCAAGGTGTATAGTAATTGTGTGGTGGAAAGTAATTTATGTTTTTTGGCTGAGGGTCGGAATTTCTTCCTTGTTTACCTTGATATTGCAGATTTTTGGCACAGCGAAAAAAAATAAAATCTCAATTACTTTTACATTTTATTTTCAATTTACGAATTATATTCATCGGCAAAAAAGGAGAATTTTTTTCTTTATTTAAAAAATTTTTTTAATCAAAAGTTTACTTTTAATCCTTTTTCTTTGAATTGAATAAAATTATTAATTAATTAACTATAAAAATTTGAATGTTCTTTCTTTCATTCACTTTTTCTGTCCCTCACACTCTGAAGTTGTCTTTTGTTTATACTTTTATTTTTTGTTAACTTTAAATAGGTAGATTGTATATTATATTATTAGGTTATAATTATTTTTATTTTATAAGTAATTCAAAATTGTAATGACAAATAGAAATCATCAGAATTTTTTTCATTTCTTTTCATTAAAAGACTAAAATTTTGTTAAATATTATGTTTTGTCAAATTGAAATTATGCAGATTTTTGTTCTTTATTTCTAAACAAAATTATAAAATTGTTAAACAACTGTGATTAAGAAATAGAAAATTTATTTATTTTTGTTTATGAATCACAATTTTATTAACAAAATTATTATTTTATTTTAGAAAAAGAAGAAAAATATTTGTACAATTCATTTTTTTAATCTTATTTAATTGGAACAGGATTTTCCACAGGAATTAAGACATTCAAAAGATTCAAATTCAAACCTTTTTTAAATTAAACAACTTATAAAAGTATTGTTATAAAACATGAAGATATCGATTGCTCCTAGTCGAAGACTCGGAGTGATCGATTTCTTCATGTTCTCTAATAAATTAAAGATGACCAAGAGATAAAATCATTATTTTATATCATAAGAATATTGTAACTATAAATTAAAATTTTCAAAGATTTTAATTTTGAACCCTTTTCAAAATTCAATTATATTTAAAAATTCACACAATAATTATTCTAATATTCAATTATTATTTAAAATTTTACCTGAAATTCATTTTTTAATAAATTTTTATTAGAGAATTTTTCGAGAATTCAATTATTTACATACAAAAATAAAAAATTTATTTAATAATTGAATTTTTATAATCAAATTTTATCAAAATTTTTTTAAATAATTGAATTCTTTCGGTGAATTTTAAAAAAAATTTTAAGAATAAATGCAATTTTCTATCATTATAATATTTAAAATATTGTATAAAAAATAATTGAAATTCTGCGATAAGTTTTGTTATTTATGAAAATAATTGAATTCTTGCAACGAATTTTATTAAAAAATTATTTAAAGAATTGAATTCCTGTAAAGAATTTTATTTGTAAAGATAATTGAATTCCAGAGAAAAATATTATTATTTAAAAATATAATTAATTTCTTATGAAAAATTTAAAAAAGAATTGAAAATTATTGAAATCTAACAAAGAATTTTAAAAAATTCTTTTTTAAATAATTAAATTCCTGTGAAAATGTTTATTTTTGCAAAGAATTGAATTCCTGCAAAGAATTTTATTTGTAAAAATAATTGAATTCCGGAGAAAAATATTATTATTTATGAAAATAATCAATTTCTTGTGAAGAATTTTATTCAAATTTTTTCAAATAATTGAATTTCTCAGAATTTTTTTTAAACTTTTTGAAAATAATCCATCAACAAATTTCATTGAAAAATTGAAAATAATTGAAATCTTAGAAAGAATTTAAAAAAATTCCTTTTTAAATAATTGAATTCAATTAAATCATTTTAATTCAATTATTATTTTCTAGAATTTTAAATTATTTTTTATGAAAATAATTAAATGTTTGCATATAATTTTATTGAATTTTTTTTAAATATTTGAATTCTTTTTGGGAAATTTTATTGAGATAGTAGATATTGAAAATCATTGAAATTAGAAAAATGCATTTTATTTTTGATAATAATTGAAATTAGGACAAGAATTTTTTTTGACATTTATGAAAATAAATTAACTTTTGAGATGACTTTTGTTGTTTATAAAGATAATTCGGATTTTTACGAGAATTTTTTTCAAATTTTGAACATAGTTGAATTTTATAAGAAGAATTTTATTTCTTTATGAAAATAATTGAATTTTTGTAAGAAATTTTATTATTTACATATGTAAATAGTTAAAATCCTGCTATTTTAACACTAACATTTTAAATTCCGATTTTATAGTGTAAAATGTGGAAACGTAGCTTTTTCACATGTTTCATTATTTATTTTGTACGTTTTTATTTTATTTTGAATTTTTTGACTTTGGACATTTTTATTTTAGATTTTTCGTACTTTGGAATTTTTTTCTTGGATTTTTCGGTCTGTATTTTTCATCTTGTAATCATTTCTTGTTTTTATTTGTTTGAAATATTATTTTTCCAAATTTTCAGTTTTGATTCATTTCGAAAGTTTTCTTCTTCTGAAATTTCATGTTTTAAAATTTTCCTTTAATTGCAATGATTTTATTTTTCCGAAATTTTATTTTTTGGAATTTCTATTCAATGGGAACTTTATTTATCCAAATTTTCATTTTTTATTTATTCGAAATTTTATTTGGTAAAATTTAATTAAAATTTAAATGAACTAAAAATGGACTTTAGGAATGAACAGGCAGTGGAATTATTTTTTCCAAATCGAAATGTCATAAGGCTCACTTTTTTATTTATTATTTTCTTTTTGTTTTGTTTTATACACACTAAGAAAAAGAACCTTTCTGCTTTTTTTCTCTCTTTATCTGTTCATTCGATGCAAAGAATATACATTTAACTCTTGAAAAATGTTCGTGACAAAAAAAGGCGTGTTTACTTAGAACATACAAAAACCTGTACTAGATATACAGTACGAGCTTGACAATTTTATTGTTATAGTTTCTAAAGAAATGAAACCATTCTAAATGGAAGACGATGAACTAACCAGTGTGAAAATACGATTTTCTCCGATAATACATATTACATCAATTTATTTTTTCACTGGTTTGCACTAAAGTGAAATTTTTTTTTAATTAAATTATGCAAATTGTTGTCTTATTATTGTAATGTAGTTGATTTTTTTTTTATTTTATAGTTGAAAGTTAATTCGTTTTGGATTTATATGAATTTCCATTTTCAATTTTGTTTTTCAATTTTTGAACTTTATTTTCCAATTTTCAATTTCATTTTTCAATTCTGAACTGTATTGTTCAATTTTGAACTTCATTTTTCAATTTCGAACTTTATTTTAATTTTAAACATTACTTTTCAATTAAAAATTTTTTTTTCAATTTCTAAAAGTGTTTTTCAGTTTTAAATTTTGTTTTTCAATTTCGAACTTTATTTTTAAGTTCTAAACTTCATTTTTCTATTTCGAACCTTATTTTTCAGTTTTAAACTTTATTTCTCAATTTCGAGCTTACTTTTTCAATTTTCAATTTTGTTTTTTAGTTTCAAACTTTATTTTTCATTTTTAGAATAAATTGTTCATTCGATATTTCTCATTTTTCAATATAAAATTCTGCTGAAAAGTTTTTATTCCAATTTCAGTGTTTTTTCCAATAAAGTGCAAACGAGAGAAAAATAATATTTGGAGATTAATTTGACACTCTAGGTAAACTGTTCAATTGATACTGTTACTCTAATAACTTCTGTAGGTCGTTATTTTTAATATACCTCGCGACCATTTTTCAGGTACAGGTATCGTGTCAAAAAATCTGAAGTCACATTCAGTACAATTTTTTTTTTATTTATTGCAAAACCATTAAAAGTAAAAATTTTACTCAATTATTTTTCACTACAATAATTTTTGATCTATGTATATTGATAAAAAAAAAATTCAAATTTTATGTCAAAATAATCTTAGAATTTCATTATTAGTTAATTATTTTTAATCTTCAAAAAAAAAAAAAATAATAAATATATTTAAAAAAAACGAAAAAAGTCAAAATGTGACTTCAAGTTTATGACTCGTTCACTAAACCGTCTGATGGATTGTAGCAGAGAAAAAATATATATATAAACATTCATTGCGATTTTCTATAATGTTTTACATTTCTTGACAATATGACACTCATTTTTAAAACAGTCACTAAACTTATTCGTGATACGCCAACTTAGATAACTTTTGCAGACAAATCGTCAGTTAATTTATTTCAAAAAAAAAAAAAAAAAAAAAAACGTCGAACCATTAGTGACAATTTTTTGTATTAGGTTTTAATAAAGTTTATTAAAGTTTAAGTTAATAATTTTTTATTTTAAATCGAATTAAATTTAATAATTCATTTATTTATTTACTTTTTTTTGAAATTATTTAATTAATTATTAAATGAATTTTTATTAAAAGAAATTTCTACCTCAATTGGTTGTTTTTTTAATTAAATTTAATTAAAAACAAAAATTAATTGCATAAATTTAAAGTATTGAACTAATTATTAAATGAGTTTTTATTGAATGAATTATTTAATTTTAAAAAAATAATCAATTTCATAAAAATTTGTTTAATAAAAATTAATTTTATTAATTCGTTTAAAATTTTAAAGAACATTTAAATTCATTCGTTTATTTAATAAATTTAAGTATTTTAACAAATTATTTCATAGTAGATGTTAATAAAATTCTTAAATGAAAATTGAAAGAAATTTAATAATATAGACATTTGAAAAATAAAAAATAACAGAAAAAAATTTGATTTACAAAAGAAAATTAATTTTTACATTACTTTTAAATTTAATTATATCGAAGAAAGAAAATAATTTGTCTATCTATACGGAATTTTTTTTTTCTTATAATGCAAAAGTTCAGAAAAACCTACAGTTGGTTTTGGCAAATTTTTTTTGTGTGTGCATTTTTCATAATCTAGAACAACAATTAAACTTACCGATATGTTAGTCTAGAAAAGCTACGTTTTCGTATAAACACAGCAACATCGAAAATTGTCTATATTATGAATACAAATCAATTAAAATATATATAATGTATGCATATATACTATATATATATTTAATATAAAACATTTCGAAAAAATCACAGTTACTTAAAAATTCATCGTTTAAACATATATATTTATATCATTCGTTACCAATTTCTTTTTTTGTTCTTGTTATTAATGGCAGTGATTTCGACTCGAGAAACTAATTTTTTTTATTTAATTGTTAAAGAAAATTTATCAAAAAATTATTTTTTTCCAAAATGAAAATTACCAAAAATTAATTATTTTTCGTAAAAAGAAAATTAATAAAAATTAATTACTTTTTGTAGAATAAAAATTGGCAAAAATTAATTACTTTTTATGAAATAAAAAATAAATATTGAAAAGATTTTTTAATTTATTGTAAAAATAAGTAAAGCTTATCAATTAGTTTCTTGAACATTGAATTGAAATTACTATTAACTGAATAGTTACAAAATCATTGTGTAACAAGAAATAATTTTTTTCTCTTACACGTTCTATTGTTAATGAAATTTGTATAGATTTGAATTTTCAACATTTTTATAAACCGAATATTTATCACACGCTTGCTTAAACGTTGCGTGACAGTTTTTTTAAAAGCGTAGGAAGAAAATTCATTTTCGAATTTCAATAAAAAATGAGAATAAAAGTAAAAAGGTTAAAATTAAAACAGAAAATAAAATTAAAATTAAAACAAAAAAGTAAAATTAAAACAAAAAATTAAAATAGAACCAAAAAAATTGAATTTATAACAAAGAATTAAAATTGTAACACAAAAAAAAGAATGTAGGACACTTCGCGTTGAAAAGTTTTGTAACACACTAGTCAACTCGCAACAGTACTGATTATTATTTTTGATAAACGAACGATTCAGACGAGATTGCGCGTTTGGTAATCAATGTTGATAATTTCTTTTTTCTTCACAACAAGAGTCAAGAATTATATTTTCTTCCAAGTCTGATTCATGTTTATTGCAATATACAAACGTTTTCTTTTTTTTCTTTTTTTTTTTTTTAATTATAACACCACAAAACATGACTAAATTCAAAAAACAGAAATACTCGTCTTATTTTTTTTTCCTCCCAATTTTTTAACAATTGGTAACAAACATCGAATAATATTATAAACATTCATATACAGTATAAGAATAAGAATTAAAAAAAGAAAGCAAAAACAAACAAAATTTTTTTTGAAAAACATCCACGTCGCCTTTTTTTAAAAAAAAAATTTATTCTTCCAAACTCTTAGTTTCAAAAGAATATTATTTCTATTTCATCCTTTTTTTTAAATTTCCTTCGTCTCTCGATATTCTTTAAAAAAAAGCATTCTAGCGTAAAAATTTAATTTCTACCCTTCTTCTTTTTTTCCAAACGAAAAAAAAAAGTTCAATTTTTTTTTCTAGAAGAATCTAGAAATATGATTGCATAAATTAAAATTTATGTATAAAAATAGGTGAATCTTTTTTAGATGATGAAAAAAAGGGAAATCAGCATCTATATAAAACACGTGGTTTCAGTATTATAATCTTCGAAAAATTTCTTATTACCGGCAATTTATATTGGAAAAAAATGCTTGAAGTTGCGCGCTTTTTGAAGAAAATTGTGTATATACGTAGTGTGTGTAGGTGTGTCTGTGTGTGTGTCTTTTGCGCGAACTTCTTTCGTTATCACAGTAATTGTTTTCCAATAATACGAAGATTTTTCCATGTGAACAGTAAAAGTGACGACTTTGTTTTTTTTTTTTTATAAACTACTAGCGCTAAATTTTTTTTTATGTACAAAAGTTATTTTACATTACAATTCCGTTCCGTCAGTTTAACACATATATTCTCGGCAGTAAGATAATAACGAGAAATTCTCATTTTTATGACAAAACATTCACCTCACGAGGCGATCCGCATACATTAAGCACACTACTCGCAGGATTCACTGGATTCGGTGTCAGTTGATTTCGGGCTTCTGTTTGTGCTTGTCGAATCGCTTCTTTATAGGGACCTCTTTTCTTTTTGTTATACCGCGTCTGAAATTTAAAAAAAAATTTTGTTAATATTAATAATACCTAATCAGGGTTGCCAAAGGTCAGGGAATTCAGGGAAAACTCAGAGATTTTTATTAAATTAAAAGTACTGGAAAAAATTAAATTTTTAGAATTTATAAGAACATTCTGAATTTTGGTGTTTTTTTTGTTTGCCTCATAAACTTTGAAATTGACAAGAATTCAAATACAAACCCTTCAATTTTTTCTATTTCTGACAATAATTTCTTTTTAAATAATTTAATTCTTGAAGAACTATCATAAAATTATTCATTAAATTATTCACTATTTAATAAATTCAATTGAACGCCTTGATGCAAGAACCAGACGCAGCCCATTTAATTTCAATGGCCTATGTCTGGTTCTTGCATCAAGGGGTTCAATTATATTCAAAAAATTTTTAAAACTCTCGTCAAAATTTCAATTATCTTTATAAATAATAAAATTTTTCTTCAAAATTCAATTATTTTAAATAAATTTGAATAAAATTCTTCGCTAGAAATCAATTTTTTTATAAATAATAAAATTTGTCTTGAGAATTCAATTATTTTAAAAAAATTTGATAAAATACTTTATAAATTTGAAAAATTATAATAAAATTTGTCGTAGAATAAAATTATTTCCGTAAAATGTAGCATTCTTTCTAGGAATACAATTATTGTCAAAAATGTTTGTAAGAATCTTCGAAAGAATTCAATTATTTTCGTAAAAAATAAAATTCTTTAAAAGAAATTGAATTATTTAAGAAATTTAAAAAAAATTCTTTTCAAGAATTCAATATTCTTTTCAAAAATAAACATTTTCACAGGAATTCAATTATTTAAAAAAGAATTTTTTTAAATTCTTTGTCATATTTCAATTATTTTCAATTTTTTAATGAAATTTCTCGATGGAATTTAATTATTTTCAAAAAGTTTTAACAAATTCTGAAAAATTCAATTATTTAAAAAAATTTGAATAAAATTCTTCACACAAGAAATTAATTATTTTCATAAATAATAATATTTTTCTCCGAAATTCAATTATTTATACAAATAAAATTCTTTACAGGAATTCAATTCTTTTCAAAAATAAACATTTTCACAAGAATTTAATTATTTAAAAGAGAATTTTTTTAAATTCTTTGTCAGATTTCAATTCTTTTCAATTTTTTAATGAAATTTCTCGATGGAATTTAATTATTTTCAAAAAGTTTTTAAAAATTCTGAAAAATTCAATTATTTAAAACAATTTGAATAAAATTCTTCAAAAGAAATTAATTATTTTCACAAATAATAATATTTTTCTCCTGAATTCAATTATTTTTACAAATAAAATTCTTTACAGGAATTCAATTCTTTAAAAAAAATTTTTTAATAAAATTCGTTGCAAGAATTCAATTATTTTCATAAATAACAAAACTTATCGCAGAATTTCAATTATTTTTTATACAATTTTAAATATAATGATAGAAAATTGCATTTATTTAAAAATTTTTTTTTAAATTCACCGAAAGAATTTTATTATTTTTAAAAAATTTGATCAAATTCTTCATAAAAATTTAATTTTAAGAAATATTCAATTATTAAATAAATTATTTATTTTTGTATATAAATAATTGAATTCTCGAAGAATTTTCTAATAAAAATTTATTAAAAAAGGAATTTCAGGTAAAATTTTAGATAATAATTGAATATTAGAAGAGTTATTGTGTGAATTTTTAGAAATAATAGAATTTTGAAAAGAGTTCAAATTGAAATTTTTGAAAATTTGAATTTATAGTTACAATATTCTTATGATATAAAATAATGATTTTATCACTCTGTCATCTTAAATGTAGGTACCTAAATATTTAATTTCAGTGAATTTTCACTTATCCGAATTATTATTTAGCAAAATTCTTATTCAGCGAAATTATTATTAGCAAAATTTTTATTTAGCTGAATATTTATTTCGATCAATTTTTTCATATTCGAATTTTCATTTAGCAAAATACCCATTTAGCTGAATATTTTTTTTTTTCTGTATTTTTCACTGTGTGAATTTTTATTTAGTCAAATATTTATTTCAGTGAATTTTTTATTGATCTGAATGTGTGTTTAACTAATCATTTATTTTGGTAAATTTCTACTTATCTGGATTTTTATTCAGGAAAATTTTTAGTTTTCAAAATTTTTGCTTAGAAAAATCCTTATTTACTTGAATATTTAAATCATTGAATTCTTTCTTATCAAAATTTTGGTTTTGCAAATATTCATATTTAGCAAAATTTCTATTTAGCTAAATATTTATTTGAGTCTATTTTTACTCTTCTAAATTTGTATTTAGCAAAATTCCTATTTAGCTGAACAGCAATTTTTGTGAATCTTTACTTATCTGAATTTTTATTTTACAAAATACTTCTTTAGCAAAATTCTTATTTATCTGAACATTGATTTTCGTGGATTTTTACTTATCCAAAGTTTTACTGAACAAAATTCACATTTATATAAATTCTTATTTAGCTGAATAATTATTTTTCTAAATTTTTGCTTTTCTGAATTTTCATTTAGCGAAATTTTTATTTATCAGAATATTTAATTCGACTAAATGGAAATTCGTCATTTTAGATAAAAAAATTAATTTAGAGTAATGAAAATTTGAGATTAATAGATTTTACAGAAACTATAAAAGAAAAAATCAATATTGATAAAAATTGTTTAAATAATTTTTTTTTCTCCTTTAAATATTTAACTCCTGATTTACGACTACAATTAATGATGATCTTTAAAATCGTGTTGCGATTTTTCAAACAGGATTTTAATTTCGCTGATAAGAATAAATTGAAGACTAGTGTGTAGGGCGAATGTAAAATGGACAGTGCGTGGGTGGATCAGCTCCTAATGATGATTTATAGCTATCCAGATGAAATCGATTTTTATCTTCATCTTCCATAGTTTCTAAATTGTTTTCCTAACATTTTCACCCCTGTTTGTTCTTAAAATAAACTTATTTTCGTGTGTAAAAATAAAATTTCACATTTTCATTATAGAAAAACAAGAGGAAAATAATTGAATATCTCAATTTCTTTGAAATTAAACCGTCAGTTTTATAATTTTTCAAATATTTTTTTGAAATTTCCTTTTTTATTTTATTAAAAAAATTAACCAAAACAGTTAGAATACTTTTGATTAACTAAGTAATCAAAATCAATTAAAATTAATAAACTTAATTCAAAAATTAATTAAAATTACTGAATGTTTAATTTTTATTTCTATTGCAATCAGTTTGTTTGAAAATATTCATACTGACAAAATATTTTTGTCTTTTAAGCTAAAAGAATTCATGCTTTCTGTATTTTTTTTTTCTATGAAAACAGTTTTTTCTGTATAAAAAGAAACCAAACTCACTTTGAATGTTTCTAAAAATGGACTAAGCTGGTCACACGACATAAGTGAACTTGTCGACGAACCGTACCAGGCAACATGTGCCTGTGGACCCGAAGATGTACCATCTTCTTTACAGGACACTGTTATGCTGAGAACCTAAAATTAAAATTGTTTTTCAGTTTCTTCATAATTTCCTTCGATTTATTGAAAAATAATTGAATTGTTAATTTCCAAAAGGATTTAAACCCGAAAACAGAAAATGATTCTTACAGTTTTCAGAGTTGCGATCCCTTTTCGAAATTCGTTATACAATTCTGATTCGAATAAGAAGAAGTTTGGTTTGTCCGAATAAAATTCTGATTAAAGTAAAAAGGAATTTTGGTTCGTCCAACTAAAATTCTGGTTGGAGGTAAAAGAATTACGGTTTCTTTAACTAAAATTTTGGTTGAAGGTAAAAGAATTACAGTTTCTTTAACTAAAATCCTGGTTAGGTTGTAATTAGCATTTTGATTTTTGTTAGATTAATCAAAATTTTTGTTACTTTAACCAAATTTGTTTTGTGAATCAGAGGCATTAGCAACCTGCATTGAAAAAATTCGGTGTTACTGCCTAACCTAGGCAGCAACATCGAATTTTTTTCAATGCAGAATTAGTTTCAGAGTTAGAAGATGATTTATGAGAGATGATTAGATATCATAAGACATGATTTTGGATCATACTGATAAAAGATGAGTTTATTCAGATACGAATTCCATTTGACGCTTTACTTAATTAAAAGAAAAATTGAACTAACTTTGCCTGGCCACCAGGGAAAACCGTGAATTTTCCCCCAAACAACATCGCCGACATCCATTCGTCGACCATTGGCAGTTAAACAATGTGGCACTGGTGTGGCGGCGAGTCGCATCACCAATGGATGTGAAGGAGGTGGAAAATCAGGTGCCGTCTCACCAGCATCGACTTCTGGCTCTTGTTCACTGAGTTCATCGCTACTGGCACCTGGACTCTTGCAACCTGAGGATGCATTACTTACTGGATAGTCGCATCTCGCGTATGCATTTGTATTCAGTCTCTTGAGGGAGATCGAGAGCTTTTGCTTGAGGCATTGCTCTTTGATCGCAGTATAAGTATCACCACCGCCGCCACCACCTCCTCCTCCTCCCACCGGCAGAACATTCCAATTTTGCTGATTCTCCTCACTGTCGTCGAGGCACGAAGATTGCTGTTGATTCTTGTGCTTTCTCTCCTCCTTGTGCTTCTTCTTGTGCTTTACTTTGTGCTTCCGACGATGATACGAAAGGGGATCGTAATTTGGATTATACCTGTTGGAGAAATGGTTACGTTAATTTTTTTTCTCGTGTTATTTTAACTATTATTCCTTGCACATTCCTCTGGCTTCTCAAAAGGCCTCTACCAGAGGAATGTGAAAGGAATAATAGTTGTAAGAAATGCTCTGTCTACTGAGTAGAAAGAGGAATGCGTGAGAAATAATAGAAGAAAATCGACGAACGCGACGTCTGCGTGCGCTGAACGTGATGGGAATTAAAGTCTAGGACTATATCAGAGGCACGGACTGTGAGAAAGACCTGGCTTGCCCCACCAGAGAGCGGGAAGAGTCCTAGGACCGCCCACTCGTTCGCTAGCGACGAATTGCGCAAGACTAGTTCCCCCACCCGAACGCGCGAGATTCTCAGAACGTTCCCTCTTACTCGCTGCGGACCAATCGCGCGGGACTAGTTCCACCACCCGAGGAGACTCGACTATAAATATCGAGCGTCTAGAAACGGCAGTCGCATTCGACAGTGAGCTACACAGGGTGTCTCTTGTACTTTAAAAGTATTCTACTCTATTATTATTTACTACCCGTTAATTCGGATCTCTATTTAAATTGTGACGGTAAAAGTATTCTCACGTTACTTCAAGAATAATTCGATCAAATATCTTAAGGGAAAGATCTTGCATCGATAGAAGCGTCAATATTTTGATCAATTGTCGCATTACCAAAAATCGACGTTCAATCCGTTACTCATTGTTCGACATTAAAAACAGGACATTCTTTAAATGTTGATAACTTCGTTAAATATTAACGTAGAAAGTTTTTCAAGGTAGTTTTGGAAGGTGTATTAAATTTTCCGTTCAAGGATCCTATACCCAAGATTTTTTGATATCGCGATGAATTACAAAGCTATCAGATAGTAAATACTGTATAGAAACTAAAGAATCGTACCTAGGCGAGCCATTACAAGGTGACCTCGCGGGAGAGACGCCGCCGAGCATTTTTCTTCTCGCTTCCTTTTTCGCCTTTTTCAAAGCCCTCTTGGCGGCCTTTGCACTCGCGTCCTTAACGCCCTGCTTTTGAGGATCGACTTGCTCCTGACCGTCTTCCTCAGCATCGGCTGAATAGGCGTCGGTTCCCTCGAATGTTTTCGGTAATTCGAGTGGATCGCGATCGGACTCGTGTTGAAGGTCGTCCTGATCGGTATCACCACCTTCATGCTGATAGGGTTCCTGTAACTTGGAGGGTATTTTCAATACTGTACCCTCTCCCTGAGCTCCGTACGAGATCTTTATCACTGGAGTTGTCTTTGCTATCCTCGTGAGATCTTCAAAGACTGATTCATCCCAAAGGTCCTCCATTGAGCCGACTGAACGTTTTTTTCTTGGTATTCTACCCGTTTTAAGTCGCATTGTCGAATCAGCCGCCGCTAGTAATGTTTTCTTCTCCTCTTCGTCCGGTACCTTTGCACTTTCAACCGATGAACTACTCAGTCTTCGTGGCGTTGCACAATATGCCGCTGTTGGATTACTCTCCAATTCCATTGGTACGCCTTCCGTTTCCACTGGTTCGTCGTCATTTATTTTCGAAGTCTCTTCACTCTCGCTCCAACATGCTTTCGACGCGACTTTCATTGAACCTGAAAAATCATCATCAATTAGGTAAAAATCAGAATTAATCCTACCGATAATAAGTGGAATCAAAATTATCATCGTAATAACAATTAGAAATCGTAACAGTAATTATTTTTAGTTTTTGTTTGCAATTCGTAATAAAAGGGAGAAATTACCAGCGTTCAATTCATTGGGTTGTAGTCGGGATAATTTTGGAATTAAAGATGCCCTCATTTTGGACGTATCGGAAAGTAAACGTCGTTGATTTTTCTGTGGTGTCGATGTGGGTTGTTGAACACATCGGCGATCACTTCGACGCGTTGGCATTGCAACTGGCTCCGATGGTTGTGGTTCGTGTTTCCGCTTTTTGCTGACGTCGACATTCTCGCTATTTTCGTTGCAAATCGATCTACATTTACTGCAAAGCACCTGCCTTGGTCTAAGACGAACGGTTGGTCTGGCATTTTTGTATCTCGCGGGAGGATTTATATGCCTACGAAGATCGGCCTTCGCCGCTAGAGCGTGCCTTTTTTCTTGAAAATAACTGAAGCGAGCCGCGATCGAAGCAAGTTTATCGCCGTCAGGACCACTCACTGGTTCTGGTGGTTGCACCCCGCAAGGAAGTCCTCTGTAAAAATTAACAACAATTTATTTCATTTTCCTCGCACAGTATAGAAACTTTAGACATTTATTTATTATTTTTTCTTTTTTCAATTATTTTCATAAAAAATAATTAAAAATTGTAGAAAATAATAATTGATTGGAAATGATGAAAATAATTTTGAAAAAGTTACTGTAATAATATTCTTATAATATAAAATAATGATTTTATCACTCGGTTATCTTTAATTATTATAAAACATGAAGAAATCGATCACTCCGAGTCTTCGACTCGGAGCAATCGCTGTCTTCATGTTTTATAATAATATTCTTATAAGTTAGAGACTTTTATTAATTTAGATTTAATGGGTAAATATTTATAAATATAAACTTATAAAATATAAAATAAATATAAGAAATATAATAGAATATAATATAAATTTTAAAAAATGTAAATTTCAATCTCTTAATAATTTAAAAATTCAAGTATAAAAATTTATGTAATTTCCGTAAATTTCCATTTTAATCGGTTTATGGAAAATTTTAATAATAGAAATGCCAATGTAAATTCAAATTATTTAGTTTTTATTTTAAATTAGCATTTTTTTTTTCGTTTTTACATATTTAATTATTACTTATATTGATAAAAATTTTCAGTTTATAATCTTTAATTTCCAATCCATTTATATTGTTGAGAAATTCAAGTTTTGATTGTTGTCAGTTATTTTTAATTTTTTGTATATTGAATAAAAATTCGAATCTATTTTATCCAAATATTAGATCAAAATTCATTACAAATTGAATTGAGCTCTCTACTGAAACCGATTCGAACCTTAATTTACCCAAATTTTAATTAAGTTAAGTTTCAAATGTGCCAAAATTCGATTTATTCAAATTTTCAACCAATTTAAATTCCAGTCGATCGAAATTTAGATCGTAAAAATATTCCTAACTTTTAAACTTTGCTATTCAGTCGATATTTTTGATTCAATCGAAATAGAAATTTTTCTTCTAATAATATTTTTAAAAAGTGAAATATTTTTTAAAAAAAGCCGTTCTAAAATATCGATAATTCTAATTTGGAAAAATACACCCGAGAATAAGAACAGGAAGCTAGAATATTGAAGTTCAAAGTTTAAACCAGTTCGCGGTGTGAATTTAGAAAAAATTGCATTATTCAAATTTTTTGTGAACTTGATTAATTCAAATTTTTTTTTCCAAAGAATTCAAGAGACAATTTTCTGAATTTCTGATAATAGGGTAAAATGGGTAAAACTAAGTTTTTTGGTGATGAAAAAAAACCGAACTTTATGGAGAATTTATTTTTCTTCTTCCATGCCTGAAGTTAATCATAAAATCTAAAATTATACACATGATCTTGTGGTGAACGTTTATAGGAACCCCGAAATTTCTCCTCAAGTGGCTAGAAGCTATATACAAAAAAGAAAGGCAAAAAATTTGTATAAAATGATTAGCAAAAAGTCACGCGATCACGTATATCTATCTGTATTATACTATACGTAGTTTGAAGATTAAACCCATGGGCATTGCCTCATAGGAATATAAATGGATTATACGACTTTAATACCGTTCAGGTATTGTTTCGATACAGACCAATCAAGATTCATATGAACTGTGGTCAAATTGATTTTAGTTTCTATCTCGAGAGTGGCGACACAGAAGGAAGTAATACTTATTTGACCTCTCTTTTTCTCTCTTTTTTTTCTCTTCCACGTTTAAAAAAGAATTATTTTGATCCTTATTTTTCCTCGAAGAAATGGAACAATTATTGTTGAAAAGTAATTATTTATTATCGATTTATTGGAGAGTAATTATTATCTTCTTATTGACATAAAAGTATATTATATTTGGTTCAAATGAACCTTTTTCTGAGATATTTACAAAACTTGTTATATTTTTTAATTTTTAAAGAAATAATAACTGAGAAATAAATTTTTTTAATCAAAAAATAAGTAACCAAATAAAAAAATATCAGGGTGGTCACAATTTTCAGTTTATTAATTTCCCTGATAATTTACTGACATTAAAATTATTTTCCCTGACAAAATTTTTTTTGCAGCAAAATATGAAATTTTACGGAAAATGAGTAAATTTATGAATTTTAATAATTTCTAAAAATTATAATTATAATAAATGACCCTACGTGAATTCAATTATTTTCATCAAAATTTTCAACTAAACTTTATCTCTGAATCAATTATTTAAATTATTTTCTGAAACTCCCTCTAGAATTCAATTATTTAAATACAAAAAACTCAATTTTTTATAATAATATTGTAACAGTCCATGTTTTTTTCATAAGTTATTTATAGGTATAATATTTTCAAAAAATTAAAGTAGAGAAATTTTTACAATTAGTTTTTTAAAAATATTTTTTAATAATTTTTGAGAGATAATAGTTTCTTAATTAAAAGAATTGAAAAATGTCTAAAAAATTGAAATTTGTAAAAGCTTTTAAAAATAGGTAATTGAATGTTTGAAAAATGTCAATAAATTTTTAAAATGATTTTTCTCTCCAAAATGTTCAAAATAATTCTAAAATATTATTATTTTTTATAGGTTTCTATTTGAATTTTCGGAAATATGTTATTAAAAATTCAGGGTGGTCACAACTTTTAATTTCCCTGACAATTTACTGACATTAAAATTATTTTCCCTGAGAAAATTTTTTTATAGGAAAATATGAAAGTTTACGGAAAATGAGTAAAATTTATGAAATTTATTAATTTCTAAAAATTACAACTATAACCCTTCCTGAATTCCATAATTTTCTATAATTTTCAACTAAACTTCATCTATCTAAATCAATTATTTTAAATAATTTTCCGAAAGTACTTCGAGAATTAAATTATTTAAATACGAAAATTAAATTTTTTATAATAATTGAATTGCGTCCATGTTTTTTTTTTTCGGTAGTTTATTAAGGTATAACTTTTTCATAAACTAAAAATAATCAACTTTTTGAAGAATTTTAATTGTAAATATGACCATGAATTAAGTAGTTTTTAAAAATATTTTAATGCAATTTTTCGAAAAGAATTTAATTTTTTAAAGTAAAAAAAGTATTTTTTAAAAAAGCTAGATAATTAATTTTTTGATGAATTTTAATGAAATATTTTGAATATGATTTTTTTCTCCAAAATGTTGAAAATAATTATTCTAAAATGTTATTTTTTTTTTAATGTAAATGAATTTTCGGAAAGATGTAATTAAAAGTACTGAAAATACTAAATTTGAAAAAATTAAAAGCTAATTTTCATTTTTAAATTTACGTTTAAAGATTTTTTCATTAAAATTTTTGATAATTTAATTATTTTGATTTGCAATTCAAATTCTTCAAAAGAAGTTGATTTCAAAAATTCTAACAAAATACTTGAAAAAAATTTATTATTTTCAATTAAATTTTACAAAATTTCAATTATTCTAAATCTTTTTAATTTTATATTTTAAAAATTTAAAAAGAAAAATGCACAGAAAAAAATATGTGTTAAATTTGTTGCGTGTAATTTTCAGATGGTGTTGTTTTAACAGAATTTTGGTGTTATTTTAACCCCATTAAAAATGTATATTAATTTAACACGCTCTAGTGTTAAAATAACACTTCTTTTTTCCTGTGTGATTAAAAAATAATTTCTGAAAGATTTGTTTATAGTTATTTTTCGCACTGTAAATATCGAAATTAATTACATTTTATAGTAGAAAATATTATATTTTCTTGCAATATTTGGAAGAAAAGTTGAAAAAGTTGCTATTTTTGAAAATAATTTGAAAAAAATTTCAATTTTCTAAAGTTTCCTGACAAAAATTTTTTTTTCCTGACATTTCCCTGACTTTACTGACAAAAATGTTGTTCTACTGATATTTCCCTGACTTTACTGACTTTACTGACATGTGGCCACCCTAAATATGTTTGAATTAAAAGTAATTTTTATTGAATCAAAATTATTATGTTTAATTCAAAAATAATTTTTGGTTGACTGTATAGGAAAGATAATTATGTTTGATTCAAATATACTCTCTAAATTTGAATTAGTGAAAATATTTACTAATTGGAATTAGTGACTGACTTTTTGCTTTTGAATTAGTAAATTTAACTACTAAATAGTAATTTTTACTAATTTATTAGTAAAATTTACTAATTAAAAAGCAAAAAGTCAGTTACTAATTCAAATCAGTAAACATTTTTACTAATTAAAATTTAGAGAGTATTGTTTTCTCATGTCAGTGATTATTATTAATTTTAAATCAGAAAATATTTTCTCATGGAATAATTTAAATTCCAGTTGAGATAAATTGAAGAAAATTGTGTAGATAAAATTCCGTTACACACTTAATGAAAGAGAAAAAAAAATGTTTATCAACTACTGTAACTAATAAACGAATTAAAAATTGATATTCAGTGTAAAAATCGAAAAATTTATCAAAGAAACGAAGGAGACTTAATCTCGTTAGAAGTGTATCTTCAGGTAGCAAACGAGGACGAACCAATAACTGATTTCGAAGATATAAGTTTTTTTTATTTCTTCAATTTTTTGTTGCCCTCGGAAACTTGAGAGTTATACACAAGTGCACATGACTAGATCCGTACGTGTACTTTATCTATATAGATTGAAAGTAAATGGTCAGTAGCCAATGATCGAATAGATACAATTTATACTTGTAGTTTCTACTGCACAGACAACACATTCGCAAGGGCAAGGTATTGATTCGAAAGAGGCGGACAATGAGCGACGGGTGGCTGTTGCTGCTACTGCTGCTGCTGCTGTTTCCATCATATTTCCTCTGCCGAAATAATGGAAGCTGTATTTGCAAGCTCTCTTTCTCTCCTTCTCTCTTTCACTGTCTCTCTCTCTATCTGTCTTTCTGTCTTTCACCAACTTTATGTGGTCTTGCGAATGTCCATTTTAATGTTTCCAGTTTCTCCACACACTCTGGGTCACTATATATATATATTATGTCCAAGTCAAAATCTCTTGCGAAACTTTCTCAGCTCCAGTATTCACACTT